ACTAGATGCAGGATTGAGTTTTCTGGCACTTCCTTTAATGCATTCTTTCATTTTGATGGCAAACCACTAATACTGCTTGGGATATTGTTCTCCAGCAATTTTTGTACCAACTATATAGTGTTTGCTGTAAATTATGTTTCTGTAAGTTGCTTATGAAATTATCATGTGAAATTGTACAAAAAGCCTTACTGAAAGCAGGCACATAGGAGATGATTTATTTCACCTTTGTCTGTACCCCTGCTGTAGAATGAAGTTAAACTTATTCTATGATTCTATGATTCTCTTTACAAACCCATTCTTGCTGCTGTTCATACTGTTTTCTTGTAGGTACTCAAAAATAGTTTCCCAGAAGTTCTTCATCTTCTCTACCAGGTTTCCATGAAAAGAATATCCCGTCTCATCCCATTCTTTACTTAGGCACATGGAAAGATCCAGGAAAAGAAGCTTTGTGTCTGTTTGTGGATGTGGTACCTGCTGGAGCGCAACTATGTGTTTTGTTCTGTAGTACCTGATTCTGCTCTTGCAGAAGGTTTGTAGCGCCACGTTGTCCTTACGCACCCTGCTGTCCTTTGCTTCTCTAATAGCCACTTTACTTTCTTAACAGCTTTGTGTTCTTAAAGCTCAAATGATGTTTTCATCTGCCCTTTGGACCTTGGTTTGTGGGTATGTGTGGGGTTCTGCTCATCCACAGTTCTGCCAGGGTGACTTGAATCAAGACCAATGCACTGAGGAATGAAGGTGGCTCATGGACAATAAAAGACAAACAAGGAATTTTCCCCAAGTTTTTCCTTTGTGAATCTTTCTATCTCTTAAAGTGTGTCAGAATTGCTTCAGGCTTTCCAACAGCTCCCAGTATAGCTAGGGTTTGGAGAAGGGAGGTTTTGGGAAATGGTATTGGATGTAGTATATGGATAGCATATATGTGGTAATAACTGCTTTGTTATTACAGACAGCAGAGATTTATATAATTTTGCATTTGACAGATGCTTAGAAAAGGTGACTTTGCAGCCGATCTCTTTGCAACAATATTTTCTCTGTCTCTGATACCTCTGAAGATTGTTTAGAGCAAGAGTAAGAAAGTGCTTTGCTCTGCCTGCATTAAGAAAGCCATCCTTCCAAAAAAGTACGTGCTCGGTGCCAAAAGAGCAGCTGCCTGGAAATGTCATTGAGGCTCTGCCAGAGAAGCTAGCAGAACTCCATACCGAGATTGACCAAAAGAAGGAAAAATTGTTCTGCAGCCCTAACAAATTGGTTGAAACCTCTCATCCCTGAGCTAGGAGCAAATTATGTAATAAAAGAAGCACAGTGGTAAAAAAACACAAGGAAAAGGCTGTTTCTGCTAAGCCATGCTACATCTTAATAAGGGAAGGCTGTCTGTTGTCTGGAAGGATTAACACATCCAGGTTGCCTTGCTTAGTGAGCACCATAGGCATTTTTCCCCCACCATGCCACCCAAGCAGGGTCAGTGACAGACGCAGAGAAAATAACAGTTTAAAGTATGGGAAAACTTAAACAGCAGTTATTGGCACTTTATAAATGCGAGATGTCCCTTACTAGAGCCCATATTATGTATGAACTTGTCTTATGACATATGGATGTACGAGCAGGTAGTGGCACCTGCCGTTCACCACAGTGTGGGGAGCCTCTGTCTCCATGTGTGGGGTTTTCCTTACAATGAATGCTTTCAATATTTCTTTTTAAATGCCTCAGTTTCTTTAAGTGAGATTTGCACATGCTGTGTATTGTAATTTTTCTTTACCTTCTAGCATTTTTTTTCTTAGCAGCTTTTTTTCCCCAAAATGTAGTGATTTTTCAAAAAAATATGTTTTCCTACAACACTTACTAAGTAATGAATCTTTAGGTGGCTGCTTTGAGTTATCAAATAAATGGAGGGACAAAAAAACCCATTGATCTTGATGATTTAGCATTTTCCCAGTATGGTGCTGGATAAAGTAATATTTATAGGAACAGAATCACAGAACAATTTAGACTGGAAGACAGCCAATATATAAGGATATAATATGTAGATGTGTGTGTGTGTGCGTGCACAAATGTATAAATATGTATATAAGTATCTGTGTATATGTTAGGATTTCATCCCTTATGCATCTGTTTGGACATCTTTGACTAGCCCTGTCAGTGCCATGGGAATACAAGGAATGCTTCTTTTCAGAAGCACTTGAAAGGTTATCAGTAAAATATTGGCTGGGTTGCACAGCACTTCCCTGTAGGTGTTCTGACAAGAATGATGTTTACAAAAGATGATTGTAATGGAGTTCTGATTTAAGCAGGCACTGGTAGCTGGAGAGAGACAGCATTAGTGTAACTGTTTTAGCTGTAATCAGAAAAATAGCCCATTAGTGGTTGTGTGGCTAAATGAAGGCTAGACATGAAAACTATCTGCAGCAAATTTTGCTTTTGTACATTTTGATTAAAAATTCAGATTTTTGCATAGGTTGCATAAATACATATAACCCTCCATTTTTTGTTGTTATCCAGAACCTCTGATGCATACCTTTTGTCTCCAAAGTATCCGATAATTTGTTTGATAATGACCCGATCTAAGACAGAAAAATTCATGATATGGCAAGGATCTTTACAAAGCACTGAATTATTGTCTCATTTAGCTACTATGTTTTATAATTTCTGAACAGGATTACAACTGCAAGGAATCTCTTCTATGCTAATTATTGCAACCATTTGCCAGAATTTATGCTAGTGAGCTGAATAAATTTGGTTAAAGCATTATGAAAGAAAACCATAAGTTTGCTAAGGAAAAAGGCAACCATTAGCTGCTATTTTAAAATAAGGCATCCAGGGCAGGGATCGTTGAGTGAACTACCCTAGAAAACTCCCCTTTTGACTCAGTTCTGGAAGATTAACTCTGCGCGCTTTGCTAAGGCTTGCTGTTTTGAAGGCTGTGTTAGGAAAACACTGCCTCCTTTATAAGTTAAAACTGAAAATAAAGTGTTGCTTTAGAAAGGTTCATCCTGTTTAACTCTTTACCGCATAGAGCTACAGAATCGCTGCCTTGCGGGGCTGACCGGAAGACTCGTGCCCTGCCGCAGTGAGGGCTGGAGCAAGTGGGAATAGCAAGAAGGGAAATAGCTGGCTGCCCTCCAAGGAGGGGGTACAGCCTGATCACCTTTCACAGAAACCCATTTACCTTGAAAACATTTGTGTGCTCTGCGTAGGACTGGGGCAGAGGCGAATCCCAGGGTCTGGACACTGGGAATTTAAGTCAGTCAGTTAAAACTAAGGCACTCAAAATAAGCTGGGGATCATCTTGCCTGTGCTGTGAGCAGTCAGAGCTGGGAGGCTGAGGTAGTTTGACATGTGTTAGAGGAAAATACCTCTTGTTTTTGAGAGAGTTAGCCCTCAGACATCTCCGATCTTTCCATAAGGGAATATGTGCAGCATAATGTAATGCAGAAAACCTATCTGTAAGTAGGTATTTTTGCTCAAAGGTTCCATGTGTATATATGGGTGTGTGTGTGTCTGTATATATGTATATATACACATATATTTAGATATATACTTTTTAGACCAACCCGAGTATATAATTTTTACAGCTGTCAATGCAGCATTGATACTGTGGCAGCCAGTTTTGATTTTGGTGAGTGGTTTTGAAAAGCAGCCTCTGTGGAAAGGTTATATCTTGTGAACGCCCCCCTTCCTCCACCCCACATATTCTTCGTACTGAGGTTTTGGCATTTGGGATGCACTAGTTGTCATCTGAACTCAGATAGTGAATGGCTTTTCACTACCTAAATGGCCAGAAATTGTGTTGTACTGCTACTCTCTACTGCATTGGTATTCAGAAAACATTGTTGTAGTGTATTGATAGCAACAGGAGCATTAAGAAAAGCCCTTGTCAATTCCTCAACATGTAAGAAAAGCTGTTGATGTCAAGAACATTGCAATGAGTAAATATTTTGCCATCATCTTGCCTAAGGAGGCTCTGGTAGCAGTGACCACGTGAAAGTGTATGGATAAAATTCTAACATTGCAGAAGTGCTTGGACTCCTGTTGCGGTGCCGCGCTTGGTTATTTGCTGTCGGACTGGAAGGATGTGTTGAATAGAGCTCATGTGGCCTCGTGAGGAGCGGAGTGCACTGACTGCATTTGCTGGGAGGAACTGTGGGTGTTTTGGGAGGACAGGGTTATCATTCCAAACACGCCTGACAAAGTGACAAGCAGTATGACAGAAACAGTAAATACAGAATAGCGAGCAGTATACAAGGAGCAGTTTTGCAGAAATGTGGGTTTAAAATGCTGGACAGAAGTCATCAATGTCATGTTGTTTGAAAAAACTGCTTTGACCCTGCTGAGGGTAGTGCTAATTCAGAGCTCTGCTTTCATGTTCAGAAACCTCCGAGGTGCTGGTATGTGAAGTGGAGCGGGAGGGCAATGGTGGGAATGCTCAGAGGCCTAGAATATGATCCCTGCAAAAAGGTGAAAAGAAACAGAGCCCTTTAGCACAGGGTATGGAAGACAGTTCAAATACTTTAAGGAAAAGCAGACAAATACTTTATTAATGCTGTACATGGGAAAAGATGCTGTTGGTTACAGCTACAACAAGTGGTACAGCAAGAGAAAAACCATTTAAAGAAAAAGAATAATTAAATATGATAATAGATTTCCTAGCAGGATTGCCAAATCACCATCATAGGAGTTTAAAACAGTTAAGTAAATAATTATCAGGATTGATGTAACTGTATAAATAACCTTGTGGGTTTACTAGACAAGCTCTTGAGTTCCCTTTCAGGCTTGTTTGCTCTTGCTTGTTTTTTCTTTCTTATTTATTTATATATTTATTTATTAAGGTTTAGAAACGTTCAGCCTAACCCAGTAGTTGATCTTATTCTTTACGCATTCTCTTCTTAACGATATAAAGTGAAAAGGAAGAAGACCACTTTGGCACCATCTAAGTGTTCTTCAAGAGGGGAGCGTAAGTATTAAAGGCCAATCTTTTTTTTTTTTTTATTTTTTGCTGTCAGATTACGAGATGACAGAATTAGAATAGAAAGGATGGAAAACCACCATTTTGAATACAGCCATGCTTTTCAGCTGATTACTGATTTTTATGCAAGAGAAATGCCTGAGACAACAGGTATGTCATTCAGAGTATCTTTGAAATATGCATCCAAAAGGGCTGTGGGAAGTCCTTCACATTGTGTAGCAAGTGAAGGAAAATACGCAACATCTGAAATCGTTCTTCAATTCCTATATGATTTAAGACTCTAAGAACAGAACAGCAGCTTTAAAAGGAGTTTCTATGTTTGTCCCAGTTTGTTTTGTTTGGGGGACTAATTTTTATTTGTTGCATTAAGGATTGACCAAACTTCTAAGTTTGTAAACCACCACCCTGGTATGTTGAATTATTGTGTACCGAGTTTTCCTACTGCTGCAGCTGAAGCAGGGACAGTATTAGGGTACTGAAGAGAAACGCTATCAGATCTAAATAACTGTGCTGTAAAGATAGAAAAATATTCTGCAGCCGGACTGAGGTAATTAAGTCATCAGTACTTGTGTACTTAAGGCCTGTTTGTTCCTCTTAACTACCATAGATGTTGCCAGCAGTAAGGGTGATTTCAGAATCCAGTTCTTAGTTTGTATGTTTAGAAATTATTTACGTCAAAAATCTGTCAGTTTTATGAGGAAAAGCCTGTGGTGAACAATATTTTACATTTCATAATGTGCTTGTATTATTGTAATGATCTACATTCTTTGGACCCATAACTGTTGCTTTGGAAGCTCACTTTTTGCTGATTTATAGACAGCAGAACACTATACACATAATATAGATCTGATTTATATTTGATTGATTTTAAAAATAAATTGTGTTGTTTCTAAAGTGTTGAAGTAGTAAACAGTGGTTTTAAAAGTGGTTTATTTATTTATTTATTTATTTTTAGGTCCTCAAAAACTATCTGTAATATTAAGCTTGGATAAGCCTGTTGTTTGCTCTCTGGCAGCAGTAATTACATACCTCAAAGAGTTTAATTTGGAAAAGATCCTTTACAATCCAAGGTAAGTTGCCTTATATAAATCTCAAACACAAAACGGCAGTAGCATATCTGGAACCATCTTGTAACTTACAGCAATCTTCTGTCAATCAAGTGGTCCACCTGCTAAAATGATACACATACTTCTTATAAAAATGGTTCTTTACTTTTAACCTCATACTGAGAACCAAAAGAATTGAGTGCTTTTTAACTTAAGTGGTGCTTACTAAAAATCTTTAGGCTGTTTTTTCTTCTGGTCAGTATATATCAGTAGTATAAATGAACTTGCACTACTGCCACAGGTTATTAAAAACAAAGTGCAAAAACTGGTAGATTGCAGGAAATTTGTTATTATATCTCAGCTATCATATTCTAGCCTCAGCTTCTGTTTTATTTTGTGACCAGAATTTGGGGCAGTTGCTTTTTGAAGACTTTTCGGCTGTAATTTAGCTTTGCAGGTGTTGTTCTGTTTTGCTGCAGAGGTGTGTGAATCATTTTCTTCAGCTCTGGATGCAAGTATAAATGCTAATGTGCTGTGATGTTCAGACAGTACTCAGCAGGTCTGTTTGAGTCAGTGAGTCAAGTTACCAATTAAAATGAAAACAGATCTGTGCAACACCTTGGCCCTTAGAAAAATTCCGTCAGTTGATTCAGTGGTACCTAGGGATAGGGGAGCCATCAGTAAAAAAAAGGCTCTGGAAAGGCCTTTACTTGCATAAAGTTACTTAAAAAACACATAGTCATGGAAAAAAGCTTTTCTTCTCTGAAGTAGTCTGAACTGTTGAGGTTATTAGGTATGTGCAGATGGGTACTAAAAATTCCTAGTGAAATCATGCAGATGTGTTCAAAGAAAATGAAAAGATAATGGATGGTTATACTACTTGGCATAGGTTTAAAAACGCCATTAAGGTTTGTTAAATGCTTTATGAAAATCAGCTTTATTTGTAATGAGTCCTGTGCAGAATATTCTCTTGGCTGACTCAGTATTCCTCTCTCCTATGCACAGGTTGACTTTAACAAAGTAAGCCTGGCTGCAAACAAGACACCTACAAATATTTTGTCAGTTGTAGATAATTCATATACTACATGAGATGCTTGCAGTATCAAACCTCATCTTTATGGGTTTCTCTATTGAGTTTTTTTTTTTTTAATGCAACTGTATTAAAAAGTGACTGCTGATGCCAGCCTTAAACACTTTTCAGATATCTGCGGAAATATTTGAAAATTATAACATATTATAACCTGTGCTTTCTGGAATTTTTTGAATGGCTTTTCTCCCCCAATCCTCTTCCCCTCTGCCACTATCATTAAAATGCTAACAGAAACTTCTGTGAGATCAGGTTATTTGAAAGGAAAAAAAAATTCCTCGGCATTTTTTAAGCCTACTCCTTCATTGTCTCTCAAGGAGCGCTCTAATATTTGGTCTTCCAGCTCATCCTCTTGCAAGAGTTATGAAAAAGAGTTGGGTAGATAGGTGGGAGCTGTGTGTGGAGAAATCTGAAGAAGAAAGTGGACTTCAAAGTCCCTTCCCTCGTTGCATTTACAGATCACTTATGTGCAGTCTCTCACTACGGTGTTCTTTCAGGTGTGAGGGGAAATAGAAAATTTTTGTTTCATGTAGAGTCTATTGAGTAGTGGAGGAGCAACATCACTACTTGAGGGTTTAGGTAACAACTGGCATTTGTAGTAGGTGCAGCCCAAAGTCAGTCTGGGAATACTTACAGATTGGGAAGGAAAAGCACGAAATCACGACATTTGCCTGCTGGAGGTTGTTTTAATAGACTTGATGTAAATCTGTGAGCAAGAAGAGCATCTGAGAGGAAAGGCAGTGAACTTTTTGGTACCTTGGTGATATGCTATTAGGCACTACTCTGCAGGCATTCAGGAGCTTGAATTCTGCTATATTTATTTCTGAAGCTGTTACTGCTTTGGCTATGATAGGTTCTTGAATTCTGCTTGTAGTTTTTAGAGTGTTACATATATGAAAACAGTAGGCCAAAGTCAGCTTTAATGCTTTTTCTGATGTCAGTGAAATAGTATGCAAGTCCTGAAAACGGAAAGCCTTTTAAGCAAAGAGTGTCAGATTCTGGGTTTCTCTGTGATCCCATAGGTGAAATGCACTGTACTGAAATGCAACCTAAAATTGTCAGGAGAATTCAGGTCAGTGAGCATATATTGATGAATTGGTGAGGTAAAGTTGGAATTGAGATAGTTTTCAGTTGCTGAGAACTTTACTGATGAAAGTGACGTATGTCTTGATGAAAAAGCCCTGCTTGATAATAATAGTAATAATAATAAAAAAAATCCTTATACCAGTTACATACCTTCCCCAAATAATAACCCTCCTCCCAAATGAACAAAATTCCAGCTGAGATTAATAAGAGTAATCATGAAGCATCACGTAAGTGATGAGGGATCCTCCTCATTTGGTTTTATTATTCAAATGAAAATGCTTAAATCCAGCTTTAAGAGCCCAAATAAAACCAGATTAAATAGAGGAGTTCTGTCACCGTAGGACCATGGTGATGGCTAGGCTGCACGGGAGCTGTTTCAGCAAGTAAATCTTTTCTAATGAATTTCACTGAATGACAATTTTTATCAGTGTGTATTCTAGGAGCCTTTAGTAATTGGCTGTTGACAAGAAGCTGGTACACCCAGTTTTGCTTGAAAATCATCTGTTGTCCAGCAGTTGCTGGGAAATGCCTGGTGGGGATTTTTTGTCCGGATGGTTTCCAGTGTATGGAGACAAAAGAGAGATGGTATTTGCAGTTCTTAAAAGTTTGAGCAGTACTAAAAAGCTTCAGAAATGGCTGGGCATGGAAAGGCAGTACTGAAATGATCCTGGGAGGTTTCCATGTCAGCTCAGGACCCCAGGGGCCAGAAAAGGGAGAATATGGTTTTAGGCCCTATGTAAAGGCGCCCAGCTTAGGGTTTGCTTTCTAATTCAAGGCCGAGAATTAGGGTGGCAGATGTTTAGTTGTGGGGGGGGGGGAGCTCAGTGCCGTAACAGGAGAAAAGTAATTTGGGATAAAACTCTTGGAGTTTCTGGGCTCCCATCACATGAGGGATCCAGCTCAGAAATTCTAGCCCTGAGGCAACATTTATGAATGAATTTAAAACTCTGACTAATGAAATATAAAATATGGGGAAGGACCTCAAGCCTGGACTACTTAGACATCAAGAAATATCTTTCATACCTAAAGCTACTGTTTCTGAGAAATGGATTCCTTGCAGCTACATGTAGATTCCTGTAACTCTAAATACATAATTATGTTTTGTGGTTCATGCACCCTTAGAAGTCAGTAGGACATGGACTCTAGAGGTCTGTAAAAGGTAATTGAGCAAAAAAAATCTGCTGCTTAGCAGGCTCTCAACAGACTGCCCTGCAGCTTCACTGGAGTTAGAGATTAACAAAATCAAAATAGTTGGAAACTATTCATCTGAATAACTTGCATTGATTTGTGATGGGTTAGTGACAGCAAAATTATACATAAAATCTCTGGTAGAGTCAGTAATGGGAAAAGTGTGAAAAATATCCTCCACTAAGCCTGTTAGGAGGCAAAATGGCGAAGAAGATACAGTTTTGCAGGTAACATGTAAGAATCAAAGTCTGAGGATGGAGGTTACTGTCCTAAAGCAATCATAATAACCTCTTAATAACCATCTTCAGGTATGCTTCTACTCTGAGAAAAAATTTCAGGAGTAAAACCCCACATTCTCATGGGTATTCCCCAAATGTCTCCTAAATCTTACTAGACACATGTATTTTTCTCTTTTCACTTTCTCAGTCCAGATGGCAGGATCCTACCTTGGCTTGCTCTTCAGTGATGGAATCACCAGCTAGTTCCATCATTTTGTGCTGTTTAAGTAAATGAGAGTTGTGAGCCTGTTCTTTGTAGCTCAGGACACACCTTCACTATCTATAAAAGGAACTACTGCCTGTGCTCTGGAAGAAATGATTTTGAAGGGTCATTTTCACTAATGCAGAGGTTGTCTGGTAGCAGCACATTCTGATTTCTTGCAAGGATTTTTGTTGAGTCCCCTACTGCACAATCAGCACCAACTTAATACTTGCTTTGAGGCTTCTTCTCATTCTGTTTCAGTCCCTAAATTCCCTACAAAACATCTCTTTTTTCCCCACACTTTTATCAAGCCCTCACTGAAGCTGAAGGAGGGTGAAGATGTGGGAAGCAAAACAAGCTGTGCGCTGTGACATCTAGAATTGTTGGCTGGGGATATTCTGCAGTTATCTTGGCTGCTATTCATGCACTCTCAGCTCTCAGTTATGAGGGTTAATAGCAAGGTGGAGTAACCCAGAGAAAAGAAACACCTGGATAGTATAAAGCATATAGCTTTATGTTGTGAGAAGCATTAACATATTTGCTTTTGAAAGCCAAGTAAACAGATTTTGCTGTGGAGGAGAGATAGCTGTCTTTAAATGTCATCAGGGAGCGAGCTTGCTGTGAATGAGGATGTTCTGGGTTAAGTGCTCTGAAGCATGGGGCATCAGCTGAAGAGCACCAAGACAGGAGGCAGTAAACTCGTGAACTTGGAACTCACTCATGGATAATTCAGAGTTGATAGAAATAGCCAAAAGCATCTTTTATGCTTTCAGGAAGAAGTTAAAAAAGACATAGTTCTGACCCAGCTGGGTTTAAGAGATGACAGAATTGAGTAGTGGCAAATCAAAGTGCAGCAACTGAGGAAACTGAGTTGGGTAAGTCCTAGAGGTTGTGGAGGTGCTTTGGAAGAGTGGGCAGGATTCAGTGTTGGTTACAGGGATTCGGAAACAAGAAGAGATCATTCCTATTTAATCTTTGCCAGCCTAGCAGCTGTGACCAAAGATAATGAAAGAGAATATTGTTTTGTTACTCATAATATTGTGTACTTTGTAAAGTGCTGCTTATTTAGCCTCAGAAGCTGTGTTCTGCAGGTCAGCTCAGCTGGTTATTAGAATGAGACACTAGTACAGGATCGTGCTGTCTAACCATGCATTCACTCAAACTACTCCAGAACTTCTTGAGGGCAATCTTTAGAGCCTATTTTTTTTGTTTAATTTCAGCAGAAAATTTGACACATTATTCCGGAACAAAACTAGCAGGTCTAGACAGCTGCATGCAGTATGAACAAGTAATATTAGTCTGAATATTTCATCTTTCTGTTTTACTTTTTTTAATACAGCAGCAATGCAGTTTTGTACCTAACATTCACACCAAGACAACTGAAGTGTCCTAGATTTTGCGCAAAGAGCAGTCAGCAGTATGATTAACCTAGACAATCATAACTTGATTTGTCAGAATCATTTAGTGACTATCTTGTACTTCCCTTTCCTCTCCCATCTAGCACATGTGTGTGTCTGAGCCTGAGAAAATTTTCACATCTAATACCATTGTTTTATTAAGCTTGGTTCTATACTGTGTTTTGCTTTTGCTCTAGCTATGAACAGAAAACACAGCTTTGTCTTCTCCTGTTCTGTTAGCTAATATCAAAAAGTCAAGACATTTTGGTCACGGTTACATCATAGCAAATATAGAAAAATGTAGTTTAAATAGACCCTGTTTTTGTTTTCCGTGATAATTATACTAATGAACTGTTCAAATTATTTTTAGTTGTAAAATATATGTATGTCGATGTATGTATATGCTGTTTTGAGTCGTATTAAGATCTGCTTGACTCTAAAAGTCTAAATTCTTAATCTTTGCCCTGCTTCTAATATAGTAACTATGGTGATTATAACATCATGGAAAACGTGTACTGCTTCAGTTGCTTCATCTACTGAAGAAGGGACGCTGCCTTAACCACTTAGTGAGTCAGGATTAGAAGATGACAAGAGAGCTGGATTTTATTCTGAGCTTTCTCAGAGTCATTTTAGAAAGTTGGGCAAGTGATTCATTAAATCTCATTTTCCCAAACAGGAAAATAAACAACATTATTAATGTTCAGTTGTTTTATTTATGTTGATAGATTCCGATTCCTTACTTGATCACTTTTTGGTTCAGATGGTTGATGAATTCTCTAATGCGAGAGATGTGATACTCTTTCACTGTTATGTCTGTTCCCATAGTTAAAATCTAACATTTGAATTTCTTCCCCCTTTCCAGTAATTTCAAACAGTTGTCAAGTGAAACTGAATACATGACAATTAATGCGACAACAATGAAAAATCTTGAGATTTTACAGAATCAGGTAAGGACAAGTATAACAATTTATTAACACATAGCGTTTTTTCCAGAGCTGTTTGACATATTGTTCCCAGTGAAGTTAATTAAGTTAACTTGAAAATCTAACTCAGAAATCTAAATTATTTTAGGTGGGCTCAAACTGGAGGAGGAGTGCTTTCCCAGTTGCATAAATCACAGTTAATCTCTAATGGTTTTTAGTATGAATTCGGAGTGTTACTGCACTTCGACTAGCAAAGAGCTTTCCTAAAATTTGGAAATTGTTGAGCATCTGCAGTCAAGTTATCTGACTGCAGTCGGGTTTGTTTTTCTTCTGTGCTGCTGGTTTCTGCATAAATTTAATTTAACTTGTGGAATCTATTCCAGTTATTTTCTGAAAACATTTTCTGGCTAGAATAGGCATGTGCCCAAGTATCTCCTGACAGCTGAAGATACTTACATAAGGCATTATTTGTGGGGGAAAAAAATGAGTAGAGGAACATGTTGTAGTTGCAATATCTTAAAGCCTAAACAGAATATTTTAATAGTATTGTGGAGATCCTATAGGTGCATGATTGATTGTTCAGTTATAAATTGCAAGGCTATTTTTGTTATTTTAGACTGATAAGAAAACAAAAGGAAGCCTACTCTGGGTCTTGAATCATACTAAAACTTCCTTTGGACGTCGGAGACTGAAGAAATGGGTAACCCAGCCTCTTATGAAATGCAGGTGAAGTGTCTCTTTACCTTTTATTAAATTGATATTTAAAAATTTTGAATCTGGCTGTTTTTCTCCAATGTCTGAAAACCACGGCAGAGCTTACTGATGAAATGAGATGGTAGAAGATGTGGTGCTTATATGCCCGGGTCTGCAAGAGTTAGACCTCTCTGTTTGGCCACAGAGCATGTAAGGAGTTCAGCAGCAGCAGTGCTGGAGCAGGTTAGAAACTACTCTGCAGAACTTGGGTCCCAGTCTGATCTGGAGTCCTCCTGGCAATGGTTGGGGTTGACCTCCTGATGGGCAGGGTTTTATTCTGAGCCTTGCCAGTCAGTGCTTGATGTCTGTCTTGCCACAGGAGCAGTTACATCCTATTAATCTATTATTTGTTCTCTTTTATTTGTTCTAAAGCAGTTGTGGAGTTTCTCTTATTGCTGCATGCCGTCTGTAGTGTATGAGAGTTATTTCATTTTATTAGTTCTGAAATGCACTAATTGTTTGCTCACTCTTACATTTTGAGCTGTGTTTGTTATGTAATGCGTTAGAAATGATTTATTTTGTAATAACCATCATGCTTGTCTTTATCTCTGGCTTGGAACAATCTCTTTCTAATTTCTCTTTGCAGTCTTTAATGGAGTCTTGAATATGTAACAAATAACAGTATTGGAGGCTTTCTGTGTGATGTTTGATGCCTATATTTTAAATTTTTGGATGTGTCTCAGGGAACGTGCATTCCCTGAGAACTGTTGATGAAGAATTTGCTCAGTTGTTGTGCTGTTCCCTTCAGCTGTTCATAAAGAAATTCCTCTTGGTTTGGCTAGCCAGAATAGTTTGTTCCCCTCTGTTTTGCATTTGGATTCGATTTGCTAAAAGTCAGGTTTTAGATGAACAGTGAGCTCTCCTAATGTTCAACTTCTTGCTGTTGTTGGTAATCAGTGAATATTTCTATGGAAGTGTTTTTTTGCCTTGACTAGTTTTAATATGTTACAGCACTATATTAATGAACCACGGCTGTTTTTTTATTTATTTTTATATTAGCCTTTTTTGTGGGGATCTTTTTACTAGTGTAAAAAAAGTGTACATTGTTGCCGTTCAAACAGCGCAGCGACCCGGTTCAGTACATAACTAACTCTTTTGTTCTTCCTATTTATCATTGTAGAATATTCAAGTCGAATATTGTAGAATATTCAAGTCGTTTTTTCCTTAGTAGAAGCTATGCTGGTTAGAAAACATCATGGTGAAGTTTCTAGCTGGGATTTAATAAGTAACTTCGGTTCTCGCTCTTTTTCTTTCTGACAGTAGAATGTATTGCACAAGAGGACTTGAAAACTTCTGCTTTTACTTACACAATTTGGAAACTTGGTTCCTTTCTCAGGGGTTGAGGGACCCTACAGCCTTTTGGGAGCTGTTTTGGTGACGTTGTCAGTGGAGGGAGCCAGAGCCCAGAGTGAACTCAGGTCCAGGAACACCCTGGGGACAGCGCCTGCAAGAGGAAGATCTCATCATTTTTTCAGATGACCTCGAAGTGAAACAGAGGGCACAAATAAAACGGAGAGAGTCCCTAGCTGGTCACAGAGGACGGAGAGCTGTCTAAAGGCTTCTGCTCTTTGCTAGTAAATTTAACTTAAGCTCTTGGTATCCAGCAAAAAAAAAAAAGCCTTAGAAGTTTGCAATTTTGTTTCCTCCTCTTGCCCTTCTGCTCTGTGTTATCATTAGGGATTTGATCCTTTCCTTTGTGAGCCTTATTTCTCTGTATGGAAGGAAGTTCTATGGTTAAAGATATAATGATACTCCTTAGCTGGAGCTAAAAAAAATACCTTGTTTCTGTGTAATGTGTCTCCATTTCTGACTATAAGTTGTAATTTTGTGTGCTTAAGTGCATCAGACATTTGGCAGTATTGTTTCCAGTAATGCACACAGATGCACTTACGGAGCATTCAGTAATGGCAGTTCGTCTGGGCCTCCTGGAGTGACATTTGCAGTGGAAGTAACATTTCTTGCATCTTTTCCAGTCAGTGGGTGGGTGCATTTCCCTTGGTGCATCAAATAGTGAGAGAGGGCAATTACCACTTTATATCTGGTAGTTGCAAATCACTTGGGTTGATGACTAGATTTATAGGGGAGAAACAATATATCAGGTTCAACTAAGAAGTAAAATGTGGACAGACATTTTATTCTAGGCAAATTAGAAGATATCCATTAGGTCATCAGTGATGTTACGTATTTTGAGTTTCCCGGAAGAGGTTGGAAATATTTGTATGTGCAATCTTTAAAAAATAATAAAAATGGCTTAATTGAGGAAGATGCAATGTTCTCATTAATTCACCTTGTTACGCAAAGATTTCAGAGCTTAAAATGTATTATTTTGGGGAGTTAGTTATTGTTATTTGTGTAAAGTATGGCAAAGTTACCTTACCTTGTCCGTATTGCTTTTGAAATGTGAATTCCAGTGAGTTCCTGTTTTGCCTACCTTTTGTAAGGGCATGGAAAGAAAAAGAGACAGTAAGATGAGTTTGTTGGAAAATTTTAATTGAATAAAACATGCCCAGAGATAGATTAGGATTTTTTTTTTTCAGAAGTGATGAAGAATGAAGATGTATATGTTTTGATCATACAGTGGAACATGATGGGCTAATTTTTCTTCCTAGGCATAAATATTTTACATCATTAATGCCAATATAAAATGCACAAGCGCGGGATATAGAGTGTGCCTGAAATCTCCAAATTGTTGTAGTAGACAAAAAGCATCATCATCACATGTATTCACTGATTTTGCTCACTGAGCCTTAGTACCATTGTATGCTACTGCTAACTGTATAAATGCGGTAATCAGGCATTCATTCATGTAGGCTGAAATTGCTAACGGGTCCCTTTTTGGGCACCAATGGCTGAAGTATATTGTGTGTGAGCATAAACAAAAGTGTTTGATTGCCATTTGCGTATTTGATGCATTCTTCTAACAGATGTGAAGACAAAGTTTGCAGAACTTGTATATCACTTTTGGAGATCCATTCAAGAATATTGTCTTCTGGTGGCTGCATGTTTATTTTGGGAAAATTGGACCTCTGTAAAGGGCAAGGAGTCGCTAAGTGAACAGATCTAGAAGGGTGTTAAATTGTTAAGTTTCATTTAAATTTTACCACAGTAATTATCAGATAATTACACTATTTTTCAGTTTTTAAATTCTTGTAAATGCATATAAGTGCATTGGTCAGTGAGCAACGTAACTGTTCAAAAATTACCTCATGAAGGTACCCAGATGCTGAAAAGAACCGTGTTAAATTGAAAGCCAGAGATGTTTAAAGGCCTGTTTAAAGGCAAACAAATAAACAAAAAGACACCCGCAAAGACAAAAACCCACCTCTAGTTCACTGATTCCTTAGTGGTAGTTCACCACAGGTTTGATTTTTTGATAGCAGCAATTGCTCTCTATGAGAGAGGGCCTGATTTTAAAGCAGAAGGGTAGTATCCTGTATTCTAACATCATAAACTACTATGAAATTTTGTTCCGCCAGCAATGTTCTGAAGGAGGATCAAGGAAAAGGCAAAATGTATAAATGAGAGAAAATGTAAAGCAACAGAACTATGTGTAGCCTTGATGTTGTGCGGTGTTTGAAAGGAGCCCGTATCAGAGGCCCAGGGAAGAGCATGAAAACTGGCCACATGGGTAGAGTTGCTTCCCCCAAAGGGGCTTTTAGCACTTTTCTGCTGAGGGGCTTCCCCAGGCACAGCTGATATCCTCACCCCTCTGCTCCCTGCTGGAGATGTCCAGACTTGAAACCATGTGTTTTCTTGGATTGAATGATGTAGTTAGGAAGGAGGTTGCTAGGCTTTGGTCTGGATAATCCCGTTTGGTGTTTTGAACCTTCTTCATATTTCTCAGGTATTAAATTCCTGTGACTGGTAGTTTTATTTATTGCTTTGGTCTCTAAATTGGGCTACTAAAATGAGTTTCAATATTTTGCATTCACTGTACTTGATCTATATCCTTGTTACAATGCACAAACTTGTATTTTCAGCATTTAGTGAGAGGTTTGTGATAAGTTTGTCTTGAAAATATTTGACTTGTATAAAATATGTGGTTTCTTGTATTTATATAATCAAAGTTACTATGCTTTAAATACAATGAGCAGTTGTCACATCTAAAATGTTATGTTTTTGCCATTGTAACACAGAGATCTAAGCAGACCCGTTAGGGTTGCTGTTTGCTAGTGTGCCATTTAGTTTGTTAAGACAGCAAGATTTTTTTCATTTGTTTTAATGTAAAGTTAATCTTCATACATCAGGACTGAACTGCAGCAAATTCCTGCCTGCTGTCTGCTCTAATGTCAAAGTAATTTTTAGTTCAGGATTCAAATATTTTCCTGTCTGCTGTAGTGTTTGCATGCCTGTCAGTAGATTAAAATAGTGTGGTATCCCAAGATTTAATTTTAAGTAGTAGTCTTAAACTATGAGAATCTGAAATTCTATAGTGAGTCAAGTTTTGTTTAAATCTGTTAATGTTTAAAAACATTGCAAAGTAATTTTTGCATTATGGTAATGACACTGGTCTTAGATGGGGAACATGGCAGAGGTCAGAGTGTTTATTTTAATCGGCTGACTTTTCATGTTGCTTCATTTCAGGGAAAATTGTTTGGGAAATTGGATAGAATTTGAATTGCTGACAGTTTGTACTGATGGGAAAGAATAGACTAATAGCAAATCTAAATAGAGATTGAAATAGTAGCTAGTTTATAAATTGCAAGACCATTTCTTCCCTAAACTGAGTGTCTTTGTACAATGTTACATTCTAATTTTCTAGTGTTACAATTTTTTTTCCAAGTGACATAATGATTAAAAGTCCCAAACTGTACATCAGATGTGCCGAGTAACTGTGCAGAACATGTTTCTTTTGAGGTAATTTAATGTCTGATCAGTATAACACAGCGGTGCTTGGCAAAGTGTTTATTAGATAAGGTATAAAGATTAAGTTCAAAAGCATCCTTTGATATTTGTTACCAGATAATTCTTGACATTTCTCTCCCCTGTCCTTCCTTCCCTGTACGTATGCAGCTGTACATAATTCTTCACAGGACTCTACTTTCTGGCTTTTGAAATAGGAGTCCCAGGGTGTTTTGTTTACAGGTGCAAAAATGGGTCATTTGCTACTGGCTGCTGTTCTCCTGACCCTTTCTTATTTGTAGGATTAAAGCAGCAAAACTGTGGGGATGCTTAGTTTTAGATTACTGGAGCTACAGTACCGTAGCCATATGTGAGGATGATTAAAGTGCAGATTAAGCTTTGAAGGGAGGAGTTCTTGAATATCGGCATCTATTTTATGTATTGTCTTTTTCCCTTGGTCAAATAGATATAATCATGCTGCTAGATGGAGTGATGGTGCTTTGAAACAGTTCTGCTGCTTACATGTGCTTTTTGTAATAAAATATACAGATTATTTTCTTCTTTAAAGTGTGTGCGTTTATAGTTTAACACAGTGTATTGCAGTGCAATAATCTTTTGTGCAGAAGAACCTTCCAAGGTCTCAAGTATAGCAATTTTTGAAAAATACTCTATTAAAATGGATTCGTGCTTGATGATGCTTGCTGACCTTCCAGCAGTTCAGCATAACAATTTGCTAGCCTCAAAGCTACCTAGCCCCGAGTATTTGATTTCTTCCCGCTGACGTTAACCCTTCTCGGTGTCCTTGCTGTTTGGCAGCCGCAGCGCGGAGCCTCCCTAATGGCTGCGCAGGGCCCGGCACCCTGCGGCCTGGAGGACGTGGTGTGGGTGCCGGCAGCTGGCTCGCTGGCTGTTGGGCTGCGTAACCCCCAGTGAGCCCGCCAGCCCACACCAGCTACGTGACCTTAAGGAGCAGATGTAAACCCTGGGGATGTTTCCTGTGCTGAAAATGGCACCGGGTGTGGGAGCACTCGCTCGCAGCCGCCTCCTGCCCCCACTGCGCGCGGCCTACCCAGGAGAGCCAGAGCACTGTTCTGTTCTGGGGTGGTGACACCAGGTCATTGGACGGTGCTCCGGGAGGAAATGGCAGTTTTGCTGCTTGATGTCTAACAGGACTGCTGAGCAGAGCCTGCAAAATGTGGCGTTTTCTGCTGGCACTTAAACACTGTTGGGTTTGTTTGAGTGCACGCTGAGGCCTGATGTTCACCTTCTGCATATGACATAGGAAAATTCTAAGGATTCTGAGCTGTCTTCAGTGCCATCGGTCTCTGATGGTTGGTCTATGGTAATGATTGAAATGTAAGGATTTAAAAATGAGGAGTGGGATTGCCCTGGAGTAGCCTGTGTTTTGGAAGACAGAAAGCTCCAGGATGATGTTCTTCCTGTCTTTCCTTTTGATCCATACAGGGCAATGGCAGCCATAAAGGCCTGCAGCAAGAGCACAGTGAGGTATGGGCTGATTTTCCCCAGAATCCATTCAGGATTGTGGATCCTTTAAATCCTACTTAGGCAGATTCATTTCTTACCTCTTTTACTTACATATTGATGAGAATGTGGGCTTTGTTCATTTTTTTAAGCCTCGTCTTCAGAGAAGCAAAGTTTTTATTTACTGTCTTTTGATTTTTCTCTTGCAGTGACATAAATGCCCGTCTTGATGCTGTGTCTGAAATTCTCCTGTCGGAATCCAGTGTGTTTGGTCAGATTCAGAATCTTCTTTGTAAGCTGCCAGATATAGAGAGAGGACTCTGCAGTGTTTTTCACAAAAAGGTATATCAATAATTATGAAAAATACCATTTTTTAAAATGTGGTCGTTCTTTCTAAATGAAGCTCCATTGCTTTTGCATGTTTATTTGAAGTGTTGTGTTCTTAACATCAGCAGGACTAAAGCTTGCACAATGAAGGAATGAAATTTCCTTTAAAACAAAACAGTTTTTTCCTTAAGTACCTGTACCAGTGATACGTTGTTGGAAGAAGTGCCTGATTAGGTGGAGAATAGATAAGCTGTGTTGCTAATGCTAACAGGAAAAGCACCTTTAAGGTGCTTGTGCCTCAGTCACTGAATTCAATGAAATAGGATGATGCAGTAGGGCCACGTGCCATCAATCATTTCCCTTTACAACAATCTCTCATGCTCTGTATCTTTACCTAAAATCACACTTGCAAGAGAGACCACTTGGCTGTAGTTACCGGTTTTCGGATGAATGTTAATTTGCTTATAAATTTGTTAATTTGGATCTTGCTTGCACATTTTGCTAAGAATTACTTGTAATGAGACACTGGCAGTTCTTAGCTGAAGCAGATTAATGTGCTGATAGCACCTGTGCTGTACTTCATGTTCTTTTATTTCACTGTTATATATATACATTTTGACAATTTGTTTTAGATAAAGAAATAAGTGGATATAAGGAGAGCCAACTTGTAATTTATTTGGATGGTATAGCACAAAGCTTCATCTGTTGGAAAGTCTGAAACTCAGTTCTTGAACATGTTTTAGGGCTCTAATGTATTAGCATTGTGCACGTGGAGAGATTTCTGAATTTCGGTGAGTTGTTACAGAGATCCAGCCTTAATGAAGTATATGAAAAGATGCTAAAGATGCTGAAATAGTCTGTATCCACATGATACAGTTGCGATTTCAAAATAAGTGGAATTCAATAGTTCCCTTTTTAGTGGTTTAACTCATTTGAGGATGAATGATCCAATATAAGGTTTGCAGGGCTCTGTCTTCATTTCATGCAGGATTGCTGTCTTATGCTGCCTTGTTCATGCTAGGCTCTACCTGCCTGGTCCTTGAGGAGTCCCTGCCTGCTCTAGGTTGCTCAGTCTTTCCCAGCTCTACAGCTGCTGTGTAGGTGGAAACGTTCAAAGTTCTTGGTTTTTCTTGTGATTCTGGATTAAGAAGAAATTGTAGTCTGTCTCAATACAGCCACTGTAATATGAGAATGTATGTGTGTGGTTAAACGTGTTGGAAAGAAGCTGCAGGAGTGGAGAGGTGCTCCAGCAGAATCCTTAGGAAGGGTATATGGGGCAGCAAAGAGGCCTCTTGCTTTAGGCATCCAATTTGCTCTTGATGAGTTAGCTTCCCTTACTAAAATCTTGCTTGTTATCCACTGTAGCATGCCGTGGACAGTGCCGAAATGGCCGAGTAATCCCTGTATTTCCTCAGGCCTGTGAGGAGATGACACTGTCCCTGAAAGACAGGGTCTGCTTCAAATGAAGTATTAAAAGCAAACTCAGGGAAACGGCTTTTGTTTTCTAGACAGTGAATGAGTATTGAGGAAAAAGGTCTTGCAAAGTGTGTCGCGTATGTGTGTATAAATATATGTGTGTATATATAGATATATATGTATGTGTGTATGTGTATGTGTTTATATATATGTCTTCAAGAAAACTACATGGCAGGTTTTCATGAGTTCTTTACGATGTCCAGTGAATGTTGCCATTTCTTGAGGAGCCTTTCTGTTAACTCCAGATGTCCGTGTCTCACATGTTCACACTATCCTCTTTCACATCTTTTGCAATTTGCATTCTCTCTAAGGGATCCAAAACTCTTGGCTGTGTACAGTGGGCATTTAGCTAAAGTTGTTCCAACTCTGGTGGATTATACACGCTAATCCAGGTTTATTAATCTAGTGTCAGATGCAGGAAGAAATAGGTGAATGTAAGAAGTCTTTGATTTTTCAAGCTCTTTAGATTGCAGTGATGTTAGTATTTGATGTGGTATGGAAATCTCAAAATCTCTGACATACATGGTGAGGCCTAGATTGGTGCCAGTAATCCAAGAAGGCAAAAGAAGTGCTGTGTTTTGGAACTGATCTTGCAAGGCAAAACATCTTTATGGGAACTATTGTGGTATGGGAACCTATCGCTGTAGGTTTTCCCTATCTGGCTGTTACCTTTGAGAATAAGTCCACTGATGATTTTAATTTGGTAGCATCATTCCCTTCATGAGCTCATGTTATCCCAACCCACAAAAACACACAGCTGATCAGGTACTAGCCGTCTAGGATGACTAGGGTGTTGCACTACCAAGCTCCAAGTTTGCCCCAGCCTGGAAAAGGGACCATGGGGATGGTTTTGAGACAAGAACAACGTTTCTGTTGCTATGGAGACTGGTATTAATACCAGCACCAGCTCCTCTTCTCGGTTCCTGTAGCTGCAGCCCCCGACAGGCATTCTCAGCTGCAGGACGGCTTGGCCCATCACCGGCGCAAGGAGAGGATGGCTGGCGCTGAGGTGTTTGGGGAGCCCTTGGTAGCATTCGGAGGGCAGCTCGAAAGGCAGGACTGAGACACAGGGAATTGCCAAGAGCAATAAATAGTGCCTAAATAGAGCCTGGAGCAGAAGTGGATTTTTGCTGGGAGACACATTGGCTCAGTGTTTCTCTCTTTTCTGTAGCCAATTCAGCCATGTCCTGCAGCCCTTGGAGAAAGCCACCAAGAATGCCATAGTTTTTTTTTTCTTTTTTGTTTGTTTGTTTTTGTTTTTTTGTTTTGTTTTTTACTGTACATTTCTTTTTGCATCCTGCATCACAGGATGCTGGAAGAAAAAGAGAATGGCAGGATCCTGCTTTTTCCTCTAGGTTACAGTGATGGCTCCTTACCTTTCCTTGGTATGCAGAGTGGCAGAGGAGCAGTCAGAGGTCCTGTGCTTGAACTGCTCTGAAAACCAGTCCAGGATAAACATGCCATCGGTGCCTTTATGAGCATGTTCTGTAGGGCCATTCTGAGGTTGCTTGCTGGTCTCATGCCATGGTGTTTCAGAAGAGAAATATTTATACAGACTTGATCCGTGAGTGTTTATCTTATTTGTACCCTTTGTTCAGTAAATATTATTTTTGAAAAAAGCTCAGTCACCAAAGCAGTGGGCAAGAGTCATCATAATAAAAGGCCTTTAAATAATAGAAAACATTGAAGTAAGCTATTTCATTAAATACTTAGGCAATGGGTGATGTCAGTAATCAAACCTTCCCAGGGCATGTAATAAAATGGTGTGTTCTGCTTCTCACTGAAGCCCTAGGGTGTCCCTAGCTTGGAGCGCCTCGGCACGCGCTGCAGCTGCAGCAGAAACCCCCCGGGCTGTGAAGTGGCTCCTTGATGGGCTGTAGCCCCTTGTAGCTGTTGCACAGCAGCTGGTTGCTGTCCCCAGCCCCCTTGTAAGATTTGCCTCCTAGCTTTCCAGCGAGGGCCTCGCTGTTCTGCTGGAACCTCTTAGAGGGGAAGGGTGCTGTCTGTGGACCTCCAGTGTGTTTAAAGCTTTTCAGACGAGCTTACACACCACAATGATGCTGAAAAAAATGCTTCCTCTGAAAGATAAGTTTGATATTTTAAGTAAACTGTTGTGACTTCATAGGACCCTAACATCCTGATACTTCCAGCAAACAAATGCTGTCTTTCCATTTATTATTTTATTAAATCTCTACCTGTTATGTATTCCCATGAAATGAATTACTCTTTGTATAGAATTCTCCAAATAAATTTTCCACAGCTAACATGTCTCAATTTGCAACGATTTTTTTCTTCCATCATCCCAGTATGTGCACCAGTAACTTGAAATAAAACATGTTTGTACTCTTTTAAAGAAATCACATCACAGATATTTTTAGACTTATTGCAATGCTGAATGTTCATTTGAACAAATTGTTCGCTGTTAAGCTGATTAATATAAACAATCTCATAAAAAAGTGAACATAGTAACCTTAAAGTGAAATACCTTATTTTTTCCTAAACTGAAAATAGTGCCCTCGCCATACTAAAAGCACAAAGATACTAATTCCATCTGGAAAAAGGTGGTAAATGCAAGAAGCATTTCCACACACCCCTGTTTTTTAATGCTTGTAGCTTAGAGCGGACCCTGGGTCTGAACTGGAAACCATTTCAGCAACGCAGGCAAGGTCAGGCCGCGTTGGGTGCTTGTGGAGCAGAGCTGCTCGGCTCGGCGGCTGTGGGCCCCTTTCCCACCTGCTCCAGCTGAGCCATTCTCCTTTCTGCCAGGGAAGCTGCTGCTCGAGCTGCTGGTTGGCACCTCTGGCAGCTCAGAGGCTGTTTGTCTAGTGCCAGTGGAGCTGTAGGTAGCATTAAGGACATTTCAAAATTAGCTTCTAAAAATAGCGTTGAATAAGCTTGTGAAATTTTTTAGTGAATGCAAGACTAGTAATCCTGCTTTACATAAACCATTTTACTGTGTTTTCAAGGTTCTACTTTGTACTGAAGTTACATATCTCTTCTATAAAGTTGCTTAGGATTTAACCTGGACCAGTCCCACTTGAATGCAACCTTGCTCTTCAGTGTTGTTTTTATGCATCTGTTCCAAGTTATCTATTTGCTTAGGTAACGAATTCAACAGCGGAGCCATTAAATTTTAGATGCAAAGTCCTGCAGCGTTACTAAAACTAAGCCAGAGGAAACAGTAAGACTGTGAACAAGCACAAGGAATGTGTTCATCCTCTCTGCTAGGAACGGTGTGTTCAACAAACTTGTTTTCACTAAAGCACCAGTTTGCCTTTTGATCATGATGGTTCAATCAGTTGTATCGTATTTGACTTGATGCACAAGCCTGGATTTATCCTTTGTGTAGCCTTTCAGACCTTTCCGATGTACTTTAAATGCTATTGCCAGATTTATGGCTGCATTATTTTGTTTTATTTTGGTGTCACAGCTTTTATAGGATAATATAAGTAAGTTCCAGATTATCAGAAAGATGTTGATAAATTGCAGCAAACGCAGGGGAGAACAAAAGTTTTCATGAGGCTGAGTAATGGATTGATCTGTGAAGAAAGATTAAAAGATTAGAGTTTAGTTAAATTGATGATTAAAAGGAGAACAGAAGGTTTAGAGATAGCTGAAGGGTGTTAACACCAGAGAGGCAGTGGAATTACTTAGTGTAATACAAAAGAGTAAACTGAAGATACTGAATTTAATTTAATGGAAGGAAAATTTGGGCTATCAGACAAAACTTTGTGATGAGATTTAGTGCTTTATGGATTCGTTTCTGAATGGAAGTGGTGAGCACATTTCTTGGAATATTAAAAATATTAAAAGATCAAGACTAGACAAAAAAAAACTTATACAAAAGAACTGAGCCGTTTTAGGGAGACCATTTAATAGGTCTTTTCTGTCTTTATGGATCTGAAGGAGTAGTAATCTGATTTCCAAAACCTTTCAGAACATAGTCTTAGCTCTCTGACCTTTTGAAATGTCAGAGAATGATTAAACTGCGTATTTTTCTAGTAGGTCTGTCTGTCTTGCTTGGCCAGTAATGATGAGCCTGTTCTGTGGTGTGTGGCTCTGTTTCAGGTTTGCTGGAGAATATCTAAAAGACTTTATGATAACTTCCGATGCATATATTCACCTATGTGATAGAATATATTTTAAATACTTGGGAATGTTTTTAGTTTGATTTTTTGTTTCGTAGCCTAAGTGAACACTGCAAGTACCCGTAAAAATTTTTCTTTCTTTCCACCACTGGTTACAGTGCTGTTTTCAATAAAAACAAAGTTAAGGTTTTAGATTGATGCACTTGAATTCCCCATTTTCTGATTTTTCGGAAGGTTGGTTTCAGCTGGTCTTCATGTTCTGAAGAACAAGTAGGCATTTCTGAGCCAACTTATCTCAGGACTAACATGTCTGGGGAGGGAGAGGTAATGTTTATTTCCAACCTGGTTTTTTTTTCACTAGTACTTGCTTCTATGTGTGGGAAGAGGAGTTAGCTACAACCTTATAGATGGGAGAATTACTTCGGTTCTTACATAAGGGCATGGGAAGGAAAGAGAGAAACAAATTTACTTCTGGAGAGAATAAGAGAAAGGATAATGAAATAAAAAATTACGTATTTTTTATGAAATGCTGGTTCAGTGACAAATGTGCCTTGCAGGGAGTGCAGGACAAAGGCACCTTTCTTTGCAGTATATCCTGCTGCCTTCCCTGCATCGTCAGGGCAGGTGAGGAAAATAAACTTAATTTTTTCAGTGTTGTCAATCGAGAGAGGAGTTCAGAAGACTGAATGCAAACAGCTTCTGCAAATCAGTAACTTATGAAAAAAACATCAGCCTAATGATTTATAGACAACTTTTCCCAAGCCTTTTGAAAGTCCTGGAGTCCAGCTGAAGTCAGCAGAGTTTGAAGGTGTAAAGCATCTCAGAGGACTAGGTTTGCATTTGGGATGCAAATGCAGTGTTGCACAAATGCAAACTTACTCCTATAAAAGCGATTTCAGAGAGAGAATGAATATTGTCCAATTTCCATGTGAGGCATGAGGAATTTGGGTAACTGCGTGTTGAATGGGAAACTAGAAAGGGGGAGGTAGCAACATAGCAGGAGGTAATTTGTTTTGTTGTAGGACTGTTAATTGCTACCCAAAGCCCATCCCTGATGGCTAGTTCTTGAAATTTAGCCAAAGGTAACAGTCCTTGCTAATTCTGAGGGGAAGAATCTGATAGCAAAATATTTAAGCTGCATCAGAAGTAAAAGTAAACAGTTTATATACGTTAAAAAAAAAAAAAAAGAAAAACAAAACAAAACAAAAAAAGGACCAGAGAGAAGCGTTCCAAAGATGCTTCTCTGCCAAGTCGCTGCTATAAAGGAACCCATATTTATTTTTCCTACTCTGTGGGCATTGGGAAGCAACCTGTGAAAGTGCTGAGAGTTATTTCCCTTGGCTTTGAGAAGTGCTCCAGGGGATTCCTGTTCAGTGGTACCCTGGCCAGCTGCATACAGGAGACAGGAGAATCTCTTTCATGCTTTTCTCGTGAGGAGAAGGTGGAAGATGAAGACCAGGATAGTGACTTCCTTACCCTCAGTTCCTTATCGAGAAGTGTGGAAATGCCTAATCCTGTGGAGGTACTTGGATACCTGGGATAGGGTCCGTCTCATCCCATAGACCTGGGTGTAATCAGCCAGAGCCTGAAGTTGACAATAGCAAACAGCCCTGTAAGCAGTGACTGATGGACTCCTGTTTCTGTGTTGTTTCCCTTTTCTTTCCGTGTTGTTCCAAAACCCTCCCTGACCCTACCCTGGCTTGCCAAGGACGTGCTTGTCCAAACTGCAGCTGAAGATGCAGATGAGAGCGTGCAGATGCCCAGGCCTCCATAGACAAGACATGGACTCCTGCAATGCTCAAACTACTTGCTATGTGCATTATTAGCCCATTTTCTTCTGCTATTTATTTTGTCTGCCATGTATATATTAATCCAGCAGCATGAATAACAGAAATTTATCCTCAGGTATATCCTAACTACAAGGGCTAAAACAATTAGCGTGTCTTATTAACTTTCTCAATGTGGCAAGATGCAATGAAAATATATACATTGTACTGATTCAGACATTGTTTCCCTTCTCAGTGTTCAACACAAGAGTTCTTCTTGATAGTGAGCACCCTGTCTCGTTTGGAATTGGAAATTCAAGCTCTTGTTCCAGCCATACATTCTCATGTGAAAAGTCCTCTTTTGCAAAACACACTGTTGGAAATTCCAGAACTTCTCACCCCAGTAAAACATTATTTAAAGATACTTAATGAAGAAGCAGCCAAGTAAGTAGAGGAAACAGATGAATCTTCCATGCCTCATAAGTATTCAGCCACAATGCACTCAGTGTTATAAAAATTATGCATCTTGTTTTAATACATCTTAGTTTAAATGTTTTTGATTTTATATTTATGTATGTACAGTTCCTTGTAGTTAGACTGTTGTTTTCTTTAGTTTTTATTATTAGTTTTGAAAAATTAAACAGTGGAGGCAAGTATCTAGCCTGGTGCTGTCTACCCAGTTGTCTTGTGGCAAGTAGGTGCTTATGATCTTGGATAGGAGAGCTGAAAGTATGGAGTTTGTATGCTCTGTTGTCATAATTCTGCCTTTTCTTATTCCAACGAAATATAGTGCAGAAAAGAAGAGGATGCAAGATTGAAATAAAAATGTATTATAAGGCATAATGTCTTTAAGTACTTAGTTATATACAATTTTTTCTGAAGAACTAGTGCCTCCATTATTACCTCTAGATCCTGCTTCTAAGCCCAGGAGGAATAAGGTAGGAGGGAAAAGATGCAGAACAATGAAGCAAGAGCACGAGTTTTGTAAGGGGGAGATGTATGAAAGCCTTTGATGGACAGGTTTAAGAGCAGGATCTTGGGACCAGTAAAAGTCAAAGTCTTTCAGAAGAAATAGTATAAAATCATCTAATAAAAGATTCTTTCATGGTGCTGTGCACAGGGGAAATGTGTTTGACTTGCACAGCCAACCTTTATGAGTACTTGACTTCACAGGTTTTTGATCTCCTTTCAGCGTAGCTTTGTTTATATAACATGTGGAAAGGATGTTCTGAACACAAAATGAATATCATCAGCTTTATGTTGAGATCTCCTAAGCTTTCTCGCTGTGAGCAAGTTGTATTTAACTTTCTTGAATGTTTCTGTACATGTAATGTGATTACCGTGATAATAATTACTGTGATATACTTAGAAGTGCTTTGATGAAAGATGCAATATAAGGGTTTAATGTATATTTATATTGGGACAGTAAAGTCATTGATCAGGTTGTTTTCTACCAGATGAAAAATAAACTTCTATTTTATTTATAAGATCTTTTTATATTTTTCCATCTGAGATAGAAAAATTCACAGATATGAAGTCTGTAACTTCCTTCCTGACTCAAATACAGATATGAGGTCTATTAGTTTTGAAGTTGAAAAGAGTAGAAATATTTGCTTTGTCCTGTTTGACAGGTGGTATTACAAGATTTCTGCTGATATGTGGTATCCAATTATAATTGTGGCTGGTTATGACAAAGCAGACTTTATCTTAATGATACCAGATTTGCTGTAGGTCGGTTTAAAAATTATTTTTCTATCATTGTGTTGATGATGACCAGAGTATGCTTTAAATAGAAGATATAATAGTATAAATAGAACATATTTTAAGTAGGGATTTTATTTGAATTTATTTGAGGTGACTTTGAATAACCTGCCTCTTGGCCTTTGTGTGTTTCAAACTTGTGTGACAATGTTATTTGTGCAGAAAAACCTTTCTTTAGCACAGTGTTTAATGACCATTTTTAGACACATATGTATATATTTGCAGACATGAAAAAATCTGTGTTTATACACACAAGCATGCACACACATATATAGTATCTACACTGTACCAGATGTTAATTTTACATGGCAGAAATGTATTCATAAAATCCCGTAGAGCTTTTCAAGTATCTCTCTCTGTTCCAGAGCTTTTTTGGGGGGGTTGGTGTTTTGTCTTATTTTTTGAAACTGTCAACTTTTAGCTTTCGGTAGGCAGTTATCACATGGGAGTGATAGAGTCTTCACAATCAGCTTCGGGCTACTAGCTATCTTTTTCCTCTCATTCCCATGGAAACAGGTCTAATTAGCACAAAATCGTTTCTAAAAATTATTACTGTATTTTAAAAGGGTGACTTTACTATCACTTATATAATGATTTTGTCCATGTAATCAGAACTCAAAACTTAGCTCTGTTATCTGTCTGGTCATTGGTTCCAGATGTAGCTTTGCTGTCAGGCAAAAGGGTATTGAACTAGGTGCAACACTACACTTCATTACCTCCATATTTTATGACTTTTAGGTTGCTAATTCCTTGCCCTCCAAATAATAGATTTCATAGTTATTACGTAATGAACTCATATATTTTTTCACATGTTCTAAAATGCAAATATATTTTTGAATTGACTTGAAGCTCATGGCTCTACTTTTTATTGTTTCCCTGATGCTTATTTAAATAAGTTTTTGCTGGTTTTGGTGACAACGTTGCTTTTAATAGCTTTTAAATTTCTCAATTTTAAACATTTGAGTAGCATTTTTTATTCCAGCTTTCATTCCTGAGCTGAAATAGCACAGCCAAAACAATTCTCTCATTCTCTGAGACTAGAAAAGTGTGTTTTGCATGTATTCAAACATATTCCCTTTTATCTCTTCTTCAGAAAAGAAGGAAGTTACTCTGAGAAACTCTCAATGACGTTCTGCTTTGACAAAAGTCTTGTGGGAGGGATTTTTTTCTATCATCCTCATGAAAATTTGCTTCAAAGTTAGAAAAATTCTAAACCTGTGGAAAATATATGTCCACATGTTTTATAGAGATTATCTAGAGCGCTGCATTAATAGTGATCAAGATTTTGTGTGCACTTGAGATGTCCCAAGTTGGGTAGAAATTGGTTTCCAGGAACACAGAACCAGGAGAGAGAGGATGTGTCTGTCTTGTGCCCTCTATCCTTCTCCTGCTTGGCCAAGGGAGAGCACACAGAAACCTGAGGGATTCAAGTTCAGCTGAGACATAGAAAAATGTGGCAAGGTTTGGGACAGAATAAGGAATGTGGTGTGCAAGAGCAGAAAGGAAGGAACAAAGATAGTGGTTAGTCTGGAATGGTTTTTTTGGGAGGTGGGCAAGGGGGTTGGTACTCTGTAGCTTTGCTATGTTCGTGGCAGCTGTTGGTACATGTGCTGTACGCACAATCAAATACCAGAAAAGCTGTATCTAGCAGGGAATAAAGCTAGTGTGAGAACAATGAATAAAACTGCAGAAGAATTAGGGAATATATCTTTGCTTTTATTATTATTTTATCTTATATTTTCTATGGATAGGTCTGGAGATAAAACTCAGCTGTTCAAAGACCTTACAGATTTCCCTGTGATCCGAAAGAAAAAGGAGGAAATTTTGGATGTGCTGTCTAAAATCCAATCACATCTGCTGGAAATCCGTAAACAGATAAAAAATCCTTCTGCAGAGTATGTTACAGTTTCTGGTCAAGAGGTAATAAGGTGTCTATTTTGTATGACCATATCCTTGCATGTCTGGAAATTAGCTTACGATTTAGGCAAACTAGGAGTCTTTTCATGTAACATGATAATGTATACATGATAATTGAGGTCATTTGAAAATACACTCTACATCTTTGAATAACATTATTCTGATACTTTTGTATTATTCTGTTACTTTTGTATTTGTCTTATTCTGTTATTTTAGTGATCTAAAGAAAAAAAAATGCTAATTTTAATTCTTAAAAGCACTGGTCAGCCTGGAGCGTTTGAGTGCCAGATGATATGCAAGTGTGGAGAGGCTGCGCTCCAGTGAGCTGACAAACCTGGCACACAAAAGAAGAGGTGACAGATGCACCCAGGTTGAGGGGGGAAATTGACAAGGGCAATGAGGTAATGTTGTTCAGCACTGTCATTTTGAAACTGAGAGGAAGAAATCTTGGGGAATAACCCCCAGACCGGAGAATAGAAATGGAGACTGAGGAGTGAGAAAATAGATTGAGAGTTTGGGTAGAAGAACGATGAGGAGGGAAGAAGCTGTCAGGCTGGTGAACTGGGAGGTAAAGAAAGGCCAAAGAGACACAGAGGGGGAAGAAAGGCAATACTCCAAGTGAGAGAGAAAGCCGTAATGAAGGAGCTAGATGTAGCAGTATTTGAGAAAAACCTCAGGTGAATAGCCCTTTTGATGGTGAGGATGAGCAGGGAGGAAACTTGCAGCTTATGGGTTGGGTTGACTTCTCAGCGTGGAGTCTGAGAGGAAGCATGGAAATGTGTATTAGAGTATTGTGTGAGGAGAAGAGCCAGGATTTGAAAGGTTCCTCTTAAAAGAGAAGGTTTGAGAGGGGGCTGAAGACACCTTTGTGCAGGAAAGAAGAAGAAAAGGGTTGTTCAACGAACAGAGGGTGAGGGAGGCAGATAGATGTGAAACTGCTGGAGAATATTTAGAAACTGCCATTCACTGTAGAGGTTTTTTAGAGAGGGGGCCTTTGTAGGAGTGAACACCGCAGAAACCATTTTAGACAGAGATCAATCCTGATACATGCGTAGAAGGAGCTGAAGAGATTATGGGTACTATTATCTAATTACATCTGGTGTGGGTGTTTCAGAGACGTTAAAAGAAGCAATAGAGTAAGGATTGCAGAAGATGGGAATGGGGTAAGGAAAGGCATGAGACAGAGAAGTGGTGGTAAAGAAATTGTATTGGAAGAGCAGAACAAAAAATATAGAAGAGTAGCAAAAAGTTCTTTGGGTGGAGTTCTCTTTCAGATCTGTATAGTGCATTTTTCTCAAGTTGCTGTAGCATTTAAACACTTCTGAAGGATGTGTAGAAACAGGTTTATGGTCTGCTAGTTCCGTAAGAGACAGAAACTGCAGAGAAACTTTCTATGTATCTCCCTACTCAGAATATGTATTGAGGGCAAAGGCCTTCTTGGAGTGAAGCAAAATTAAATTATTAGGCTTTATGTGTGCCCCCAAGCCCATAGTTATGAATACACAGATGGATTTTGAGAGTCAGCCCTCAGGTTGTTAACATACCTTTGGCATAGAGTTTCTGTTGGAGCTCTGATGAAGCTCCAGTAGATATATCCCTCCTTTCCAAAACAGGAATTACCTCTGTATCTATCTTATCTTTTGCTTCCAGACCTCTAATGTAATTGATTGTAGCCACTAAACGGGGCAGAGAACTGTCCAGTCACTGTTAGCACTGCTGTTTCAGGCAGGGACTAGAGAGAAACTGTTGTACTTGACAAATGTTTGCTTTGAGCATGGCTCTAGTAGTGCTTTGGTTCAAGTTCATTAAATATGACCATTATTTATCTGACAGTTAAGAATTAGAGGATGAGAAAGCTGCTGTTTTCACTGGTGTGAAGGGGATTGCAGTCTCTTGCTTCTTCCTCGCTTGCTGTACAAACGAAGCAGATGATTGAACTGGATGTATTAATTTAGGTTGCTCCGAGTTCAGACAGGCATCCAGGACAGACACAGACATGGTGTGATTGGCTTGCTTCCCCCTTATCAACACTTTGTAGGTAATTGTCTTAGAATGAACTTGGGAAAAAGCTGCAATCTCTACATGGTAGCAACAGTACTAGGTGCTCTGCTCACTTTCAGGTCTTTGCAGATCTCTCTTCTTCCCATTTGCAGCCTTTTTATCTAATACATACATATAGATAAATAGAGTTTCAGGGTTTTCACCATATCAAGTATTCTTTGGTGAACTAATGTGTTGCATCTTGTGCTCATGTTGGGATTTTTCTTCTGGTTTGTACCTGAAGGTGACTACTGGCAGTGCTGTCAATATGGGGAAGGTTTTATCTAAATTGTACTGACTGTAAGAGAAGAATTTTGTTAGATGAAATCTGATGGTTTGCTTTAAAAGTGATGCAGATCTGGGTTAATCTAATCTCTGCTAGGAATTCATTTTGCAGCTGGATTCTTTTATTTGAGAATGCCTCTGTTCTTTCAAATCTTAACTCCTCAGGCTAACGGTAGAAAGCTAACTGGCATGAATCATGTAAAGCACTGCTCTAAGCATATTATATAATTTTCACTGCTGTGAGCCTCTTTACTGTTGCTACTGGTTTGCCCTGTTCCCTGCCTTCCTGACCCCAGAGGATCTAAATTGGAAATAAGGTACTTCAGGTGCAGTGCTAGCGTTTGAGGTTTGGAGCTCTTGTTTGTGAGGTGTCCCGGGGAGCTATGGCTGAGGACGAGTCGCTGGCCCCTGGCCAGCTGAGCACATCTCATCACTGACGAGGAGCAGCCTTGGTGTGGGGGGCTTGTAGTGTAAAGTCTGCATGGGTGAGCTGGGTGCCACGTCAGGGGCACGTAAGCAAGACCTGCTAGTTTTGGTCTGTTTTTTGTCTCTTTTTGGCTTGCTAGGAGAGGTGAGGAGAGCTTGTTAGTGGTAGGAGGATTAGAGGGGCAGAGAGGAGGTGGCAGCAGCACAGCGGGACAGAAAACAGCTTGGGAAAGGACCTGCTCTTTGATGCGGCGTTATCTTAACTTTTTAACTATCCTAGCTTTTGGCAGGAAAAAAAACCAACTTGTCAGCTTGTGGCTTTCTTTAATACATGTGGACGTTTTCATAGCTGAAGAATATGTTTCCGTAGTCTCCCTAATTAACTGTGACATGTAACACTATGTTTCTGTTTCAGTTTTTGGTAGAAGTCAAAAATTCCCTTAAATCTTCTGTGCCATCTACCTGGGTTATGATTAGTAGGTATGTAAATGTCTTTGTCTTACAATACGTAAACAAAAATAAAATGTGCCATTTTGTTGTAACACTAATTCCATATATATTCTGCATTTTCCATGTGTTTCTTACTTTAAAATGTAAATCAGCCAAACAAAAATATCACCTTAATTTATTGTCATAACAAGCTTTATCTAAAAGCAAACAGGAGGGGGAAAAAGAAAGATTCTTAAAACATTTGTTTTAACACAACAGATACTTAATACAATTTTATTTGCTTCTCTTAGAAAGTTTATGTGTTGGTGTCAAAACTATGGTCTTGATTCAGTTGCACCTACAATTTGTAGATAGAAGTCACCCATCTCATAAAATCATAGTTGTTCTTAGATTTATTCAGAAATGTAAAGGTAGCTGGGCAAATGTGTTTTTCTCAATACATTTAGTTTCATTAGTCATTTTACTGTCATATGCACAGACTTTTCTCACTTCTGTGATTAGTGTTATGTAAATGTAACTTTTAGATTGACTTTTAACAGTAAATGAGATGGACTGAATTATTATGATTTTTTTGTCTTTTATTACTTTAACAATACCTTAATATGTTTAATGCATGACTACACACAGCTCGTACCGCTACCTAGGCCTTAGAAAGCAAGGAGAGTTCTCAGTACTATTTAACCCAGAAATAGGTGAACTCTGAAATGTTATTCTGTTGACTTATGCACAGGTTTAATGTTAAAAACACATAGATTATCCAGAACTAAGAGCATGAAGAACAAATTACAGCTAATCTGGATCTTGTAAAAGAATGCCTGACAATGCCTAAAAAGCCCTTTAAATAGATAAATAAGTATGTCTGTATGTATATAAATAAATAACAAGTACTCCCAGTGGAAACTAGTATCCATTTAAACAGTCTGTATTTATTAAGTTTATGTCAGGCTATTTGGTAAGTTCTCCTCTTTAAAGTCATCTTTGAGAAATAGTGTATATGTTACCCAGTCACAAAAAAGGTCATCCATTTGAACAGCACATTGGTGATAGAGTTTTGTGAGCTATGTACTTCATTGATATATGCTGCACTGCAAAAACCATTTTAGAAGCTTTCTGAATTGGCCATGCTGCAGTAACCAAGCACTTTATTCACAATGTAGAATATCGGAATCAATAGAGTTTGGTACCACAATAAAAGAACATTCCATTTTTACATCTATTTCAAGGATCACACAGAATAAGAAAACTAGTCTAATTTTCCATGTAGATGACATAACTGATTGCTTAGTAACCTTGATTTCCTATGTGGCTTTTTTTTCTCTTTCCAGCACAAAAGCTATCAGCCATTTCCACTCTCCTTTTATTATAGAAAATTACAGACATCTGAATCAGCTCCGGGAGCAGCTAGTCCTTGACTGCAATGCTGAATGGCTAAATTTTCTAGAGTGAGTTTAAAAAGTAGATTCGGGTTTCATCATTCTATTTAGTTGTTTATCTTATTACTACATGAACAGAACAAGAAAGAGATTTGTCTACAAAGGAATAATAAAGTTGATAATTAGGGGTTTTTTTGTAGACAACTTAATTGAAAGATATGGTAAATTAGAATACTGTCCTTCAAGTTAAAGTGTTTGAAGGTAAGACTCTTGCAGAGTGATGCCAGCAGGGATATCTCCATAAGACTTTGAAATTCTGATGAAAGTACAGTATTAAATAAATACAATACCTCTGTCAATTTGAAAATTAGCTTTACAGCACTAAGAACATGAAAATGCGACTGACTATAAATGTGTGATATTGTATCCAGTGGTTTTATTATCCAAGTACAAGATGAATGAAAAGATAATTCATTATACAAGCTAAACAAATTCACTTTTAATAATAGTTAAATACAGTGCGGCTCCATTGTTAAGTGTACCATTGCTTTTAAAAATACATAAATAAAAATAAAAGAATTGGGCAATCTCTTAGGTGAATATGATTCTCTAAAGCCCTATATTTTAGATGCTAACCCTGGTAGCCTGTTAATATATTTGCTAGAAGGTAACTAAAGTATTGTCCCTCACAACCACTATGTTAGAATTTTTTTTATTGGCTCAGAATTTTAAAATAAACTATTTGACTTTTTAGCTAATGGATCTTCAAAGTGGCACTGCTGAAACCCTCTGTGACTTATCAGCACATTAAATTTCTTCAGATAAATGTTTTTGTGCAAAAGTCTGCTCCTTGCCTTCTATATCTCATATGCCAATGGTCTTGCCTGTAGTTATCTTCTTCAAAAAATAATCTGTTTACTGAATGAATTCCTGGACAGACAAAGTGAGTCTGTCGGGTACCTCTAAGAAAGGAGAGGTCAAATTTCCTGGTGTAGCCCTCCAAAATCTTCATATGATAAACTTCTAGAAGAGGGAGCCCAGCCTCTCTGATAGCCAGGGATTTGCAATTCCATAAAAATAGTGCAGTTTATTTAATTGCACTATTACTAATTGCAATTTAACTCTTGCCCCTAAATTAGTCATTTTAAGTTTGAAGAGATCTATGTTAACCTTTCCTCACTTTGATCTGCTGCTTTTCATGATTACTTTGTTGTTTCAGTGCTGGGAAAGGAAAACTTGCATGTAGGAGAGTTTGCTTCTTCTTTACTCTAGTTTTTCTTTTTTTCAGTTTTACTGCTTTGGTATGACTTCTTTTTCTCTTACGTTTCCCTGTTTAGGGTTTGTAACTTTATATTTCCCTGTTGTAACTTTGAGACGAGGAAAGGAGAAAAGAAATTCATGAAGGCTAAGAGATTGGAGACTGAAAACTGTTCTCTTGGTAGCTTCATTATTGTGCTGGGTGAAACAGTGCCATAAGTTGAAAATGAATTCTTGATTTTTTTTTCCTATTGTAATAACCATGTTTTACTGAAATTCTAGACAGCTTCTGGGTTCAGACACTTTTTTCCAACTACAATTTATAGTAGAAGTGGCAGTTGGGATGGAATCATTTGTCATAAACAGCAGCATATTATAAACCTCATTAGGCACTAAAGGGCAAATGCAGACCCTTTAAATATGAGCTAATTAATTTCATTATTCCTGCTTTTTCATGCTTAAATAAAAATCACTGTTACAACTGTTACAGTCAGAACATGAAGTCTGTCTTGATTCAGATTAATACATTGCTGGGAGGGTTGGAGAAGAGGCCAAGAAGTTTGTGAGAAACAGGCATGAGGCGTATATTGGCAATGCCTATATATACGTATGAAAATAATTTGTTTTCTTCTCCTTTTATTTCTCCCTGCTTCGCTGTAGCCATTTCAGTGAACATTATCACCCTGTGTCTAAAGCCATTGGTCACCTAGCAACTATTGACTGTCTCTTCTCCTTGGCCCAGGTGGCTAAGCAAGGAGACTACTGCAGGTAATCCATTTTTAATTTTTATTTAGGATTTTATAGGGAATTATACAAGAGTCTTTAAAATAAATTTCACTGGATTATGCATAGCACAGTAAAATGTATTATTAAAATTGTTTGCAGTAGTTTCGGGTTAATCAGTTTTCACAGAGCAGCAAATCTGTAAATGATACTGTTTAAATAGACTGCTTATTCTAGTCTTGTCTGTTGTTTGACTTGAGTGTAACAGATATTGCCTCACATGCGGGTAAATATCTGTTAGATTTTCAGTGGAAGTGCCCATACTCTAAATGTAATGTCCATACTCTTTTTTTCCCAAGAAGGTCTGAAGTTACAATGTCTTTCTAATACCTAAGTTACTAAGGTGTACGACGTGTTTCAAAAAGGTACTTCTAGGGGAGATAGGTAAATACTCATGTGGCCCTGCAGAGCGGTGATGGTATCTCACCTAGAATAAGGTGTTTAGGTCTGATCAGCTGTGTGCTTCTCCCTACCCAAAACACAGGAATGCAGCTTGGGATGTTGACAATTGCCAAGGCACTTGGAAATCCAGCAAATAATGCATGAAATATAGTAGAAGGGAAATCAGACAACATACACGTTGCCTTTATACTGTATTATAGGTAATATTGATCACTTCTAGGCCCTTGAGATCTTCTGTGCCTCTATCAAGATCTTTTTGAAAGTAATTGCTAGCTTATTTCTATATACTCAGATGGGAAAACAAACTGAAATATGATTAATTCACTATGGGGATTTTAAATAATTCATGGAATATTAAAGAGTAGCTTAGAGCTCTTAAATTGGCAGGGAGGAGACTTCTCAGTTAAACTTCAGAAGGAATTATGACAGTTCTTTAGTGTGTTAAGCTTCAGGGAAGATGTCAATAATTGATTTTGAGGGACTACTAAAAGAAATATTGGACTTCCAGTTATGTAATTTAAGTGGGGTTTGAGCTGGAACTGTTTTGGTTTAAATGAGAGCTACCAGAGGTGTTTAACTGAGTGGTGAAGTTAGGAACAGAGGTTGCTGGGGAGAGGTCAGCACCTCTGACAGCCTCCCCAGGCCATCTCAGGACCCCTGTGTCAGAACATTCATTCTTTGCATGGACAGTGTCCAAAGCAGAGTCAGTTCCATGAAGATGATGATCCAGATAGCCCAGGCATCATCATCCTCTGAGATTTTTGCAGCCGTTTTACAGACTTGTGGATTCAATCAGCTTTGAAGAATGCAACTGAAAGGGATTATGTAACCAAATGTCGAGTTACTGCGATCCACAGCAACGTAGTAATTTTTTTTACACACCTTCATGACACACACTGTGGTAATTCAGGGCAGTGAGGGCCCTGTGCCTGAGCCCCTGCTTCTGCCAGCGCTGTTGTGTGAGAACAGAACAGGCAGTCAGCCAGGTTGTGGCATCCTGAAACTACATCCTCTCTCACGAATGCACGGAAGGTGCCCAGAGCAGTTAAAAGAAGGAAATGATTTCTCAGAGATGAGGGCAGAAGTTTAAAGAAGCAAGTGGGTGGTTTAGCTGGCATTTCCTCGCTTAGTTACAAAGTGGAGAGGTACACGAGCAAGTGCAGCAACGTGGTACCTGCTCCTCCCTCTGGGGTCCATCATGTTACAACTCCAAGCAAGAGACATATCCAGTGAGAGAAGGGCTGAAATTTCCTTTCTTTGTCCCCAAACCCTAAGGCTCTGCCCTAATTGGTTTCACCTGAAAATCTCCTTATGCAAAAAAACACAGTACTTGTACCTCCTTCCCCAGTGATTCATGTTCCTAATACGCCTTTTTTTTTTTCCCTCTATTTTCCTTTCCAATCGTATAGTTATTCTTTTATATCCTCCTCCTGGGCAAGCTCTGGCAGTGTGGGTTAGACGAGTGCACAGTGAGGTGGATTAGGAACTGGCTGGAAGGCAGAGCTCAGAGGGTGGTGATCAGCGGTGCAGAGTTGGAGGCCTGTAACTGGTGGTGTCCCCCAGGAGTCATTCCTTGGTCCAGTCTTGTTCGATTTATTCATCAATGACCTGGATGAAGGCACAGAGTGCTCCCTCAGCAAGTTTGCTGATGATACCAAACTGGGAGGAGTAGCTGATACCCCAGAGGGCTGCGCTGCCATCCAGAGGGACCTGGACAGAATGGACAAGTGGGCGGTGAAAAACTCATGAAACTCAACAAGGCCAAGTGCAAGGTCCTGCACCTGGGGAGGAAAAACCCCAGACACCAGTACAGTCTGGGGAATGACCTTCTGGAGCGCAGCTCTGCGGAGAAAGACCTGGGTGTCATGGTGGATGATAAGTTGACCATGAGGCAGCAGTGTGCCCTCGTGGCCAAGAAGGCCAATGGGATCCTGGGCTGCATTAAGAAGAGCATCTCCAGCAGGTCGAGGGAGGTGCTCCTGCCCCTCTACTCAGCCCTGGTGAGGCCGCATCTGGAGTATTGTGTCCAGTTCTGGGCCCCCCAGTACAAGAGGGATGTGGAGCTGCTGGAGAGAGTCCAGCGCAGGGCCACAAGGATGATCAGGGGCCTGGAACATCTGCCCTATGAGGAGAGGCTGAGGGAGCTGGGCCTGTTCAGTCTAGAGAAGAGAAGTCTGAGAGGGGACCTGATCAGTGTTTGTAAGTACCTCAAGGGAGGCAGTGAGGAGGATGGTGCTGGCCTCTTTTCACTGGTGGCCACCAACAGAACTAGAAGAAACAGCCAGAAACTGAAGCACCAAAAGTTCCAGAGGAACTTAAGGAAAAATTCCTTAACAGTGAGGGTGACAGAGCCCTGGAACAGGCTGCCCAGAGAGGTTGTGGAGTCTCCTTCTCTGGAGATCTTCCAAACCCGCTTGGACGCAGTCCTGTGCCACGTGCTCTGGGTGACCCTGCGTATGCAGGGGGGTTGGACTAGATGATCTCTAGAGGTCCCTTCCAACCTTAAGCATTCTATGATTTTGTGATTCCATGATTCTCTCTGAGGAAAACCTACCCTAACTTCCAGTCCAAAAATTACATAGCTTTACTCCTATATTCTCTTTCCTCAGCTACGTTGCTTTTCCTGAGTTACTGCTCCTACAGGAGGGTGCCTGTGCTGCTACTCTTGGAGAATGCTGTTGTTGAGACATGAAACTGTATTTATTCCCAATGAATGTTGTATTTCAGTTACACTGAAAAAAAAATCATTGTAGAGGGAAAAAAAATATATAGTTCATAATTTACTGGAATATACTCTTTTCTGGCTTGTGCTTTGCAAAGAATATACAGCTTTTAGGTGATACGTAGCATTGAATTATGCATGTTCTGTTAGAAATATCCTTAAATGCAGTTAACCAAAGGTGGAACTGCTTGAAGCAGCTTTTTGTGGTTTGGGAATGAGGAAAAAATAGGTAAAATAAATATAGTTTGCATATTTGTCTCTTAAACAATACTGTCATTTCTGTGTGTCAGCTTAGATGATAAGCTCTTTCTCCTGCCAGTTATTGTGATGACTCTTAAACATGTTTGGGAGTTGCTATCAAGTACGAAAGCTGTTACCGTTCATAAGAAAACTTCACCTTTGTCACGCTGTGGTCTTTGATTTTATGTGGGCTAATGTGTTACGGTGGGGCTATCTGTAGTTGGACAATTTTTTCTGCTCCCCATGCTCCAGCCAAGGCTCAGTGAAGTGGCGGGCTAGCCTAGTTCATAAAGAAACCAATCCTGAAGTTACTAAACGTGCCTGCAAATGGTAAAGCTTGGAAGAGCTGTTGTGGTGGCTGTGGGAAGATAGTGGTTTTGCTCTTACTTGCTCATTTTGTACAACTTCCTAGTTCTTTACAATATATATGAATGAAAAAAAAATACGGAAATGCACCAAATGCTCTAAAAATTTTATATATATATTTTTTTTAATATCTGAGTGAAATTCAAAAAACTTGATTGGGAGAATATGTTTTTGTTTCATTTGTATTTTTTCACAAAAGCCTGCAGCTTAAATTGTACCTCCTAGCTTTTAATTGTAGTTTTAAACAATTGGATAGAATAAATGTTGAAATTTAGATCTCTTCTTTTTTGCAGACCAGCTGTGCAAGATACTAGGAGAGAAATTATCATAAAAAATGGCAGGCACCCTGTGATTGATGTACTACTGGGAGAACAGGATCAGTATGTTCCAAACACCACTAACCTTTCAGTAAGTGCTGAGATATCATCTGAGCTTCAAAGTCATTCAAGAGAAGGGCTCTGGGATTTGTTTTTGGGCTAGAAAATTAAGATAAAAATAATCATACAGATGGCTGCTTGCTTGCATTTTAGAAGACGGTTGCTAGACAAGACCACATCTATTTTGTTCTTTTTTGATAGCTAGTAGCCAGATGCATTCTGCAGACTTGTTCAGACTTAATGTCATAAACATGTAAAAAGAAAGCTGGTCTTTAAATTAGGAAAATGAAAGTTTAAATGGTTACTTTTTGAACAGTCAATGAGTAATTTTTTTTTTAAGTCATTATGGACGTTTGCGTATTGTCAGTAACTTTAATCTCAAGTTGTAGAATTTTTTCTTTGTTGATGCTGCAAGGGTACCTAACATACAAAATAGCAACAGTCTCAATTTCTGTGTCACCTACATAGGCTTAGTTTTCCAATTTACTTCTAAGGTATCTCAGATTTAGGTAATTTTCTACTATGTATTTCCATTATTTCTGGAATTATTAAAATTATGCAGCATTTATTACTGCTACAGTTTAGTTCAGGCTGCCTGATTGTCAGTATCGTGCATATTTCTTAGACTGCACATTAGTTACAGAAAGCCATTTCCGTTAACATATAATAAAACTTCCTAATGTGTAGCTTGTAAGCCTTAAGTCCCCTAACTGTTGTTTTCTGCCATTAAGTTTTAAGTAACACAGTGTTGAGAAGTAGGAAGACTGTTACTTGCTTGGTGCTGTCAGTGGGTCAAATAAAGTTTTTGTTTGTTTTGGGGGAAAAGGTCCTTGTTAATGCTTTCTGCTCAGTATTACCTAAATGTTATGATCTAAATTTCTTTAAATTGTTCCTCATATGTAGTTACTTGAGGTAGAAAACATTATTTTATTTTGTATATCTGTTTGAGCGTATTTTAGTTCATTTCCTTTTTTCTTCCCCGAAGAACTGAAATCTCTCTTTTAAACTACTGTCATCTTGAGATTTTTTCATTAAATATTTATCTCTTGCTTTTTTTTTTTCTCCTTTGGAAACATTAGATTTCTGTTCTTAATGAATGTAAAAAATGTACTTGCAACTTTCTTCTGAATGTTAATTGTCTTTTTATACTACTGTTTGAACTCAGAAGAGATAGCAATGTTCTACATGAATGTCTGCTGTGATAAACTTCATTCAAGTTTGTATATGTTTATCTTGAAACATTTTTAAATGCCAAATGATGCTATGGATATTATGCAATACTTCAGTGAAAAGTAAACTTTTCAAAGATTATTCATCAAGTCAGAGCAAGCAACAGATGTCATTTTCAAAAATACAACATTTCATTCAGTAATCAACATGCGCTTTCCTTATCCACATATATCTTATCAACATTCTTGTGGTAGATGTCCACATCTTAAATGTTACAAAATCAAGTAATGTTGGTAAAATCAACTTTGCTTCTACTGTTGGTTAAAATCCTCTCTTTTCTGTGAGAGGTAAGTGGGAATCCATTTATTAAAATGCTCATTTTTAAACTGAAGTGTTTGAATCAGCAGGTTTTTTTATGTCATGTTTTCATCTGAAATGTTGTAAAATATCTAACTTCAGGAAGAGCTTCCTTTCACTGCCCTCATATAAACCACTTGTTCTTTCCTTCTGCTCCCCAAAATATTCATGGATTCCTTTATTACTTGTATCCTTAGCCACAAATTCCAGTAAGATGTTAGCTTATGGTTTCATGTAATTGTAAGGACAGATGGATTTTCTGGGTTGATGCTGCAGCATATGTTCTTTCTGAAAGCTGGTTTAGCAAACCTGCCACTCGGCACAGACCATGCTTGCAGGGAACTTGGAGGAGTGCCAGACACATGCAAGAAATCAGTGGGTTCAGCCTCACAAATCCTTGGGCTGCCTGCATGTGGGGCAAGGCTGTTCCATGGACTGCAGCACATGAACTCCCTTTAGTCTGAACTCGCTGTAATTCTGTTGTGTTGAGCCACGTGGTGGCCTTGACGGGAGCAGTATTGAAACCACATAAGGAGGACTGGGCTGTTAAGAACTCTCTTCTCCCTGTAGCTGTAGGCATTTCAGTTCACCCATCCTTTCTTGCTGACAATGACATTATTTGGCTATATTGAGAGTTTCTTATGGATGGAATTTCCTTAGCAAAAGCTAAGCAGCTATTTGCATATAATAGATACTGATTGCATGTATGTTTTTTATGATCTGATACAAAATTGACAGTCTTCCGTTAAAATAATCATTTATTGATTGTTAATAATCAATAAAATGGAAGTGCAATAGAAAAGTAGATCTGTAAAGATCACAAGGTTTATTCCGTCAAGATTCTTACAGTGTTCTCGTGGTCTCGTGCCTGACCACTTCCCAGTTTCCTAAGTTATGCGGCTAGGTCTGTTATGTGGTGCTTGGCCTTTTTTTCCATGCTTCTCCCATGAGGTAATAGAATGTTTTGCCTTTTGATTAGTTTATAATTTCTTGGGTTTTGCTGCAGTAAAAAGGAAAAGTCTCATTGTCTAAAGTTGGATTGTCCTTCTGTAACTTAATTTCATAGCCCCTGAAAAGACTTTATTGCTTTATAGGTAAGTTTTTTTACTTTATTAGCAGTTGTCTTGCACCAGAGGAAGAAAGTTTTGTCCTGGAGCCCTAGACAGTGTTTAGTACCCTGGGGAGTCTTAGGGCTGAGCTGAGCCCTATATTTGATTTCATTTTTCAGAAAATTGCTACGATTAGATTCAGTGCTAATCAGAGACTGGCTACAGTCTGCTCACAGTGCCTGTGTTGCAGTCAAGTATTGAACTCTTAATGTCTTGATTTCTTGTAGCAGCCGGACTGTTTGGATGTGATTGTGTTATGCAAAGCCAAAAAAAAAAAAGAAAAAGAAAAAGGAATGAGTGTAAAATCTAGATCAGTTCTTTGTCTGCCAGATCTTGTCCCCATTTGTCAATGAGAACCCTAATCAGGAAGGAATCCTGATGACCAAACTGTGGGCAGCAGGAGCTCTTTTGAAATTTCTCCTTCTTCCAAAGGAAACTGTACAGAAAGTTTTCAAAGTGCTTTCTCAGCACCCTGATGGAGGAGGAGAAGCTTTCTCATCTTTCTGCCCATTTTGCTCAAGAGTAATTGATATTGCTGTGATGAATCTCTGCATCTTTCCAACCTGGAAATTGGAAGATTTATGACTTTGGAACACCTGGAGACATGAATGCAGTGAACTCCAAGAATGAGGCAAGCCGTTCGCTTGGAAGCAGAGTGTATAATCCAGAGAACACCTCCCTTGTCCCTCTAAGCCATATGAACACCTCCAAATATGTTATATAAGGCCCACAAGCAGGACATTGTATCTAACCACTGTTTTGCATCCACAGGGAGATGGTGAAAGGGTCATGATAATAACTGGACCGAACATGGGAGGTAAGAGCTCCTATATAAAGCAAGTTGCGCTGATCACAGTCATGGCACAGATCGGTTCCTTCGTTCCTGCAGAGGAGGCAGCGATTGGGGTCGTGGATGGTATTTTTACCAGGTAATCTTTTATAATACATTGTGGCTGGGTTTGTCAGTGGGGCATGTGTATACATATGTATACAAGTATATATGCATATATGTGTGTGTGTGCGCGCATATATGTTCATATGTATTTATGTGGCAAAGTATAATTTCGTTTTGCATTTAGAACTTCAGAGTTTATATTTGTAATTTTCTTTTTCATTTTTAAACACATGGCTGTTTGGTTTGGAGTCCTCATTTTCTGGTAGGCTGTGTGACTGATGTACCTTTTTATGGAGTCATGACATTAGACCTGAATCTTTAAATGGGTTTTGTGTCTGTCTTGATAAAGATCAGGATGTCCAACTTCCGCCCAAATGGCAGCTATGATATTTGGGCAACTTCTTCTGCCCAAACTGGCTGCCCAAATGATATCTCAGCCAAATATTCTACTGGGTTAACAGCCAAATGCTTCTTCCCTAAAATAAATGCCTCCCTTCTGAAAATCATGCAACTTATTTTTTGCTGTGTAGCACAGTTATACATAGCTACAGTGTTCAAAATTGAGAATTGAGGCCTGCATATGTTGTTTTCTTATTCTTTTTCTGGTTCTGCTTTAATTGATGATTTCTAAAGAATGTATAATTGCAGTTCAGTTCATTCACTTTCTCAGTTTTATTTTAAAATAGAGCTGAATAAATTATAGAAAGTATTAATAAAGTAAAAAAATGGTGGGCTTTGTAGCTTGAATAGTTACTGAGGATTATCCAGCTGTTTCTTGCCCTTCATCTTTTTTTTTATTTATTTTTTAAATCATCAAAAGTTCTGTATTGCTGATGCAATGTGAGCTGGGTAACTGATGGTTTTAAGATCATGCAGCGATGGTGCATCTATTGCAGAATTATCTTTTCTGAAATTCTGTTTTCAAGTGGCAGAGTGCATTTGAGAGTTAAATTTTATCAGAAAATCTGAAGTATCGCACATCTGGAGTTGCTTCATTGTATAAAAATGTTGTGTTCTTACGCCTCGTTGTGTCATAACAAAATAAACAAAATTGTGCTTTGATGCACTTCAATGCTAAGCAATTTAACAAATTGGAAAACAAGTTGTATTATCTTTCCAAAATTAATTGGAACTGAAAATTTAAAACAGTTTCCTCTTTTCCCTACCCTATATGGAAAGTAATTGACTGGTTTAACGAATGAGCATTTGTTGAGATATTTAAGATGTGATTTATTTATGGAAAACAAGCTTCTAAGGTTACTAACAGTTTGAAGATTATTTTTGTCTTCTACTGTGTTTCTTGGAGAACAGAGGCCACCTTCTTTGTATTCACACAGACTTATTTTATAGCCATAAGATAGAAGACTATTTCTCTTATGCCAACAACCCTTTCCTCTACTTCTCTTTGACTGTCATTGCGACAGGATATTTCTGCAGGAAGATTGAGAAATGTGACTTGGTCACAGGGACTGATTTGTTATGTACCTCCTAGCAAGGCAACATACTGTTCCTTGTCCTCGGCAGTCTGAAATCTTTGAGTTCTCTCTATGTATATATATGCATATATATATATTAATTAATTAATATATTAATCTGTCCCTCTCATTTCACATAGCCTTTTACTATATGGGATATATTTTAACACCTGTCCTGATAATAGTTTTACTTCTGGCCATACTGTCTTGTGTGTTTAGGTCTCAAGCCAAGCAGGATCAGGGTGTGTGTCACTTAACTGGGGGTGAGGTTTCCGACATGGTAATTTGGTGCCCAATCACACTCTAACCCAGGCGATTATTTTTTCCCTGTCTAAATTAGCTTTGGAAGCTCAGCTGGATATGACATTCTTCAGTTAAACTAAAATGTGTCAAAATTTTAAAGATGAACTCTAGATAACTGTACTAAAGAATTATTTAAGCTCTTGTCTTTGCCCTGATAATTAAGAGTGAACCAATTGGCTCAAAATTAATCAAGTACCAATTTTTAAATACATTACCCAAATTATTCCTAGTGAGAAATAATCATATTTTAACTGAAAGGTTAGCAGAAGGGTAACAAGAACCAAAAGGAAAAAAATAAAAAAAGTTGAGCTTGAAATCCAGGGCAGTCACTTCAATGTGTGAACCATAACGAATGGAACTTCTTGTCTGCGCACAGGTTTAAACCTCCATCTTCTGATTAATGTAATTTCAGGGAATCAATTGTGTTGTTGGGGAAGGCACTAGCCATTTGCTGATCTTAATATCCTCCCAGAGAAGAGCACCGCCAACTTTGGCTGCCACCAGATTTGTCCTGTATTGCTTCTTTAAGTCTCTGCCTGGCTGAAGAGCCCTAGCCTTTCTTGGGAACGCTCTTCTGGTTGGGAATAAACTGGAAGAGATTAAAGATTTCAGTTCATCCTCTTCTCCCAGCTCAGTCTCCCTCTCTCCTCCCCAGCTTTTTTCCTTCTTCTCGACTGCAGTTCCCTAGCAGGATGCAGCTGTGCAGACCTCCTTTCTGCACAGCCATCCTGAGCCACATGCTGGCATGTGGGATTTTGTTGGTAACTTGGGTGTATTTTTAATCTTTTAAAAACACTGCATGGAAAGAAGTCCGTTTCCAAGTTATTTTCATCGCTCCCATGCTGCGTTGTTTTTTAGCTCCTGCCTTTATAAGCTGTGCTCTGAGCCACGCTTTATGGCGTGGAGTCTGAAGAGTTTTGTGCATGAGGAAGGCCAACAGGCTTCTTTAAAAAGGAAGAAAGGAAAAAAATAAATAAAGAAAAAGGACTTCATTACTGTGTTTTCAAAGTGTGAATTTATATAGGTTTAAGAGATTAGCATTTCTCTAGGATTTTTATCTTGTGGTCTAAGTGGTGTTTCCATGGAAATTGAAAGGCTGCTACTATGGTTATTCTGTGGGATATATTTAGTATTTATGTATTATAGTATCTCTAAATTGATTTTAAATACTGCATAGTATTAAACACTTGAAAGCTGCAAAAGGGTTTTACGTTATAGAAAATGCCTTGCTTACAGGTACAGGAAAAATAGGAATGGTTCATCTTCATTATTAGGTACGTAGACGGAATAGGGACAGGGCTTGTCCAGGCATTTCAGAATAGCTTTGATGGCCGCATCCTGAAGAGAGAAATTCTTTTGCTGGGTCAAAATCTCTAAGCTCAGATGATATCCTAATGTGAGTCTGTAAGAGACATTCCCTCTAGGCCCCTACCTGGTGGTGGTTTGAGTGCTCCCATGAACTCTGCCCAAATCCCAGCCCTTCCTCCACCCAGTGAAACCTGGCGCTTTCCAGTGCTGTGGTTTGGCTCTCACTCTTGGAAGTGTCTGCTGGGAGTTATGAAATGGAGTATAAAAAGTTTATTTTTATGTGGCTACAGTTTCACAGCTTTGGAGACAAAAGGGACAACAATCTACTCTCCATATTTGGGAGATTTTATGTAAAACTATTTCTAGAAGAGATTTCTATGTTGCATTAATCAAGTGTCTAAATTCCACACTTGAAATTGCACATACCCACATTCCCTTTTTTTAATGAGTCAGTGGATGTATAGACAGGTATTGTGCATCTAAGCTGCTACACTTAAAACCTTAACTATCCCCTAAATTGTTGGGCAGAGCTTATTTAATAAGTGCTTCCACAATATTTTGAGAAAGTTTTGTGATAAGTATTTTCTTTTTTTTTTTTTTCTTTTGTCAATGAAGGATAGAGTTTTCTTACAACCTTTGCTTAAAAGTTTTAACTAAATTAATTGCATTGTAGTTAGGAATTTTAGAATGGTTTTGGAAAGGTAGTGCCCAAACTATATTGACTTTCAATGAGATTTGAGTGTTTAATTCTCTGATGCGTTTAAAAATTCCTGTCCAGAGTTCATCTTCTCTGAACAGGGTGCATCAACCCTTGGAAAGGCAGCCCGGGAACATGCATTACCAGTTTACTGTGGGGCTGTCAGTGAGCAGGATGGTATCAGTCTCTCCCAGAGCAGCCCCTCAGTCCAGCTTGGCTGTATGATTCCAGCTGGTCCTGTTTCTCCTCGGCCCGGATGGGTGCTCCACCTTGCACGCACCCTAGCAGTGCTGGCCAGATAAGCCTTTTGTCTTGTAAGAAATTAAGTAGGTGCAAAAAATTTCTTGCTGTATTTGCAGTGCTTTGGACTGGTGACTAGTCAGCTAGCTGTGTTTTCAGCCCCTTCCCAAGTCAGCCAGGGAGCTGACATTAGGCATTACAGTCCCAAGAAGAAATGGCATCATTGCTATGAATACCTGGATTAACACGGTGACACTGGGGAGATCAAGTCTCTCTCTGTTGGTAGGAGGCTGCTGTTACAGATCTTTCACCGCAGCGACAGTGGGTCACTCTGTGTGCCATTCTGCTCTGGCCTGGCTGTCCCTGCCCTGCTGCCTGTCCTGGCCTGTTCCACCCACGTAGCGTCTTCCATTGATCCAAAATTGCCAAGCTGAGGTGAGGGCCGTCTCGCTTGTACTTGCAGAACGTTGTACACTCAGGGAGCTCAAGCCTGAGCTTGGAGCTGAAAGAGCGGCATTTGAGTGCCTGCTTGACTGATGTGACTGGCAGTCCTCATTTACATCAGCCTGGGAGTAGGAAGACACCCACTCACCTGTGATGGGATCTATACTCCAAATAATCAAAGAGGAAAGAATGTGCACCAGCATTTTTAATTTGAGATACTGCAGTCATCAAGGATCCATTCACATGTCTTATCTCTCTGCCTTGAGAGAGAAATTGTAAAAATGGATTTATTGGCCAGTAATTGAAGGAAGTGTTAGGCTGTTCTCTCTGTTTGTGGGCTCGTGGCTTGTGAAGAAGGCTGGAAGCATGTGGCCCAAAGCCTGGTCACATAACCTGTCTGTGCAGCCCTGCAGAGACTGCCAATATATCTGTTCCTCTAGGGTGCATGTGAGTCTTTTCCTACCTGTGTAAACTGCTCAGTTTTCTTCTTGCCCTGAGAGGATCTCATGTATTGCCAGTGGCTTTGTCGTCAGCTGAAATGGGGCTGCCCGAGTGAAGGTGGTAACA